TGGAGCGAAATTGCCTTAGGAGCCTATGAAATATTTAAATCTTAATATATTTAAAACGTATTTATAATTTTATTTAATATTCACAATATGTTTTCCAAGAGAACGATCAAAATGATTAGATGTAGTGAATAGTGACCTATAGAAGAAGCCGAAGAAATATATAAGAATCATTGTCTATAGTTCGACAGATAATAGTTATTAGACCCTTTAATAATTACATCATATTTTTCCAAGAGGACGACTATACAGAAAATGTTTAGATATAGTGACCTAAAAAAACAGAAAAAATCGATGAGAATCAGAGGCTATTATTTGACAAGTAATACTCATTAGACCCTTTAATGATAGAAAATGATTAGATGTCGTGAAAATAGAAAATATAGAAAAAGATTTTAGTCATAATTCAACTAGTGGGAAAATATTTTTTTTGCTCAAACAGAAATTAATTATTTAATATTATATTAATATAAAATGATTAAAAATAAAAATTGTTTCAACTTAGCTTTATGAGAGAGCCATTAAATGTAGTTAAAATATTTCGGATGTATCTCCCACTACTTCGAATGTATCTTATAACTTAAGTTCAAAACATATTTACTGTGAATTCCACTTAAGATAACTTCTGTTATCAATATTTAAAAATATTTGTAAGCGAAGACTATAAGTAGCTTATGAGTGATATGTGACTCCTTCACAACTTATATTTATAGTTTATTTAATTGAATAATTTATTATTATTCAATTATGTATTAAAAAAGTTGAAAGTTTAAACAAATATTTGATAACTATAACTTCTGTTTATTTAGCTTTAAATACAATATTTTATTTATGCGTGTCCTACAAAGCCTTTTTCTTATGATCTGAAAACCCTTTTTTATAATAACGGTTTTGTTTCTTCATAAAGACACCTGCTAATAATCGTTTTCAAGCGGAAGCAATCAATCGCTCACTCAAAAACGATTCGTTGCTATTCGCATTTTATTCTCTTCATACAAGTATTCGTATAGAATAAGGATAAGTACTTATGCTTGGCGGAGTAGATAGCACAATAGGAAAGAAATGATGGATGTTTGATACAATATGTGAATTGTTTTTGTAATTTCGATTGGTTAGACTTATTGACTAATTGCTTGAAAATTATTCGCTTCATGAACGATTCATTTTACTAATTTAAGGTTTTTTGATATACATATGAAATATTCATATAAATATTTGTTAAAGACCTATTTCATATATCCACTAGTTTTCAACCAAATAATAGTCGAATATTTAAATTTGGATTTAATAATATTGTCGAAACTAATTTCATTAACAAAAATTTAAAATCTTAAAAAAATATATAAAAAATTGTATTTGTTCTTAAGAGTAAATATTGCCACAGTTGTTCTCAGGGAAGAATTTAAAATTTGCTGACGGTCACAATTAATATATAAACAATCAAAAATTTGACATTTGTGTAAAAGTCTTGTTTTTGAAAATAGTATAAATAGATTAAAAAATATTGCCTTATAAAATTCCATTGTTTTAAAATAGCTTACAAAATGACCACTTACGTGACTTATTTTAAGAAAAGTTCATAATTAACTGCATAAATTATTAAGTGCAATTTTTATCAAATTAAACAATTGTTAAGATAGAATAGCAAATATATTTGTTTTACTGAAACTATTGGTAATAAATATTTATGAAATTCTGAATTTGCAACTAGCCATAAGTTTACCATATTTATCTTTCGTGTAAATTATTGCAGATACATGTTTTTAAGACAGCAAAGATAATAACTGAATGCATAATTAAAAAAATTATTAAATTACAAATTTATTATAAACCTTTCAAACGTTATTTATTTCACAATAGTTCCACAAACTAATATTATTAAATATCTCCGACTTGTACTGTTTACCATTTAAATATTAAGATATGTGAATCTTAATTAGTAATATTATAAGAATATATAATATGTTATATTATATTATAAATTAAAAACATTTTGTAATAATTAGATCAACTGTTGACCTATAACCAAATTATGTATTTGTCTGTGACTATATATAATCCTCCCACAACACCTGTAGTTGTGTGGTATAAGTTGGCATAAGTATAATTTTGTATTTTAAAAAATAATTGTCAGTATTTAATGATTTATTTTGTTTAAACAGCTAATAATAATGTTTATATTTTAAATTAATTTTCATTCTTTTATTAAATATATATATGTATCTTCTTCAAATGAAAGGTTTATTGAAGTGTATAAGAACAATTTTTTTTGCCAAAATCGACTTTATTCATCAATATATGTTAGGCTTCCTCAATTAAAACAAAATCATAGTTAATGTTTCTCTACGTCTCTATTTCTATCGTCTCTATTATAGAACGATTTAGCTAGCTTAAGTCTCAAAATATGTTAAAGTCTCAAAGACGTCATATCTGAAAGAAATCACTTTTAGCTTCTAGTTAACTATTGATGTGATAGTTCACTTTTCAAATGACTCTCCAAATTATTTAAAATTGGGAGATATGAACAAAAGTTCTTTATATAACACTCTCAAAAAAAATATTCTTTAAATTTGAAATAAATAAATAATAGTTAAGCAAATGTATTCAGTTTTGTATACCAGTAAAGAACCAAAATTGCCAAAACTCGTAAATTAAGTGTAGGTTGCCTTTGTGTTTTACCATATGAGTACACGGTTTAAATTTTTCAGAGCTTAATTCTTGGCACTACTACTTCTAAAAATTATATACGAATAATTGAAGCCGATAAATATCCCAAAAATAAATAAGTATAATAAGAAATATTTGGCAATTTTTGAAAAAGCTATGGTATATGGCCAGCTTAAGAAATCACTTACGTAAAAAAAAAATTTCTCAACTTATATCCTTTTTTCTATTCGAAATAAAATTCTAGTCATAGGATATAAAAATATATAATTAAAATTTATTGTAATATACAGTTAAAAGTACCTTTAAGTAATTAACAAAAATCTTGTGTTATCCTTAGAAAAATTAGGATAATAGACATTATCTATTATCTGGGGTCTATTAATTCGTAAAAATTTGATACTCTGGGAAATAATAAAATAATGTTTTTTTAGTGGTAAAAAAAAATATAATAGTATTTCTATTGCTAATAAAAATAATAGTATTTGATAGTTTTTAATGATTTTTCTTTTTTTTTTTGTGTTATACAAAAACATTCAAACCGAATGTTGTAGTGAATTATTTTAGCTGAAAAAAATACAGCTTTCTTGAGAATTTTTCTTTGCTCGAAAAATAAATATTGGGATTAATAAGTACTAAACACAATTGAGCTAAAATTAATCATTTGTTCGTAGAAATAATATATCAATATATATATAAATTTTTACTCATTTTTTTGTAAAAGCTAGGTTGACCACAATTTGAATACATTAAAAGTTGCATTTGATTAAAACCTAAAACTTTCTATAAATAAGTCAGTTAAATAAGTATTTATAACATATAGAAAATACATTATTTTTTATTTTTTATAAAGCCATAATAACATAGTTGTTAATAATTGTATTAACAGTCTTTAATTAGTTATATTGGGACGGAATTTTAATTTATGTATATAAGCTTAGTACGTAATTGTTTGTTTAGTACGTAATTAAAAAAGAATTAATTGTAAATTAATACTATAAACGGCGAAAGCTTATTATAAATCCAGTGATGATAGTTCATATGATTCAGTAACCAATTTCCATCGTCAAAACGTGAAACCACACCTTCTGGAACTTTAGAGGAACAAAATCAAAACAGAATGTGTTGTCTAACGTATAAGTCACAGCACTACTCTAGCGATCAGATTTATACTGGATTCACATGAGAGTTTTGTTTGTAATTTTAGTTGTCATGTTCGTAATTTAAATTGTCAGTTGTTGTTGCAAAATAAATGTTTTTAACAGCTAAAATTATAAACAAAACTCTCGTGTGATTCCCATGTTACTGATTTCTGTCACATCTTCCTTATTTTTACAAAAGATCGGGTCTTCCAAAGTGATATGTATGTCTGCAAACTCTCCCTCTCTATCTCCCTCTTAGTATAGAAATTAGGGTAGACTTATGAACTACATATTGTGTAATTTTAAATATTATAAATTGAGTTTGATTTGAATTGCAAGAACGGTGTTTTATGTTGCTCGAATATGTACCACAGACCCGCAGTGGTCTTTCGATATACACATATATCATAGTTCACATCTTTTGATGTCATAAAACTACTTTTCTTAATTATAGTAAAAGGAATGTCTATAAATATTACAATATAATGTTATACTAATCAAATACAGATTATTTCTTTTATTTTGAATATCTTTTAAATTGTTATAATTGTATACTTTATAAATTCGAATATCCATACCGTAGATTTTAATTTTTTGCTACTTATCAAAATTTTATACTCAAAACAGAAATAAATAATTAAAAATAAGTTATTATTTATATAAACTCCATCATATTCAAATTTAAATTCATATTCAATTTTAACAATTAAATTCAAATTGAATTTTTAATAAAAATTTCTCTATAATTCTGATACTACTTGTTAAAAATCCGCTACTGTTATCAGAATATAAAAATAAATATAATGCAATCTAATAAAGCATCAATTTGCCGCAATTTAAAATTAAAATTAACTATAAGTAAGACTCAAGAAGTGTGAGAGACAAGTGAGTGCATAGAGTACGTAAATCCCCAATATCTCTGTATACAATTTTTTCTGCTAAACGAGTAAAATTGAAGAAGCAGCGATTTGATACCACAGAAGTATTCCTTTGCTGACGGACGACGGTTGTGTCGGCGGGAACATTTTCTTCGTAAGAATTACATTCCCGAAGTGCTTATACATTTTTCCAATCATAACTTAGAATAATAAATAATATATATACAATATATTAATATAATAAATATTATAATAGTGGAAATTATATAAAATACATGGAAAGTATATAAAAAACTAAAATTATTGAAATTATTTTTAGTACTTATTTCTAACTGTGGTACTATAATTAAAAAAGTGATTGATTATTTACTCGTATATTAAATAAGAGTAAATAGAAAAATATTTTAAAAACTGGGACCTTGAAAAAATATAAAGAAATGACATATAGACGCATCTTACCGATAAGTGTAATTTTCCTATTAAATGTATATGCACGTCCAGTATTATCAAGGACTTTGTACAATAATAATAATAATTTAATAGAAAAAAGGGATATATCAGAACTAGAATTACCAGCATGGTAAGTTGCACTTTTTTTAATATAAAAAATATTATTTCTCATGTTGTATTTATTTAATAATAAAAGAATTATGTGATATATAGTACATAGATTGTATAAGTTTTATTTTTCAGTCATAGTTTTATAAAACAGAACAGAACAAAATTTTAAAAAGTAGAATTAGAATTATTTAATGTACAATATAATTTATTACTGAAAATAAAAATTAATTGGGTTCAATAGAACATTTTCAATAGAAAAAGAACTCAAAACTATGTGCTGCTTGAGTAAGTACATACGTAGGTAAGGAAGTCGTTAAAGGTTCAAAATGTTTTTAAGTCATTTGATATTTTTGCTATAATATAATGTGTCAACATGTCCTTAGTGAATACCTTGTGGATGGTGTTCCTCACTAGTGAAACACCATTGTAACCTAACTATCTACCTAATAAGAGCACAATATCATAAAAGTAGCGCGTGGATAGCACAAAATATCAACGCTATAGCTACCTTTAAACGAGCTTTTTAAGCAAGAATTCAAGCAATTTCTTATACAAAATAATATTTTGTGTTATTATACTGGATCATTAGCAAAAAAATTATTGGTTAAAAAGAGATGTCCACTTTTAAAAATCATCTATTACATCTAGTAGGTGTCTAGTAATATGTTGACGTAGTATTATGAAACATAGTATTATGAAATAAAAATCAACTATTTAGTAAAATTTAACACTAATGTTGATTCATACTATATAAGGAATATATATGAAAAATCTGGGAAGAGTTTTTCTTTATTTCTGATATTAAATTTATAGTTTGTAAGGAATATAAATGAGAGAAACGTAGTATTATGAAGTAAAAATCAACTATTTATAGAATTAACCATCAATGTTGATTCATACTATATAAATAATGCATATGGAAAAACTGGAACGAGTCTTTCTCTATTTCTCTATAATAAAATTATAATTTCACCATTTGTAAGAACAGAATGCGATGCTTTAAAATAAAAACAACTACCTCTATATATTACATATATTAATATACCTATATTATATATAAAAATATATTAAAATCAGCAACTTTATATCGTTCAATTTTTAAACAAGTTTAATTGAAAGTGTTAGTAATACTGTAATTAGGCAATTATATCTGTGCGTCTCCTACTCTCGGTAATATAGATAATAGATAGAGTCCAAATAATTATAACAAACAAATCAGTTTAAATGAATATCGATGTTTACATAGAAGCAGGAATATCTGTAAATTTCATATAACTATTGTATGTTCAAGATATAGTGCGAATAATATATTATAATCTTAGTTATATCGTTATCAACTAGTTTTGTGAGTATTTGGAGTTATTAGAGATTGTAATTTAAATTTTTTGGTTCGAAAAAATTCAGAAATTCAATTTCTTAAACAATGATTCTTAACATCATCAAAATTTTATAAATCAAAATGCAGCAGATCAACGTACCAAAGCCACTCATCAACCACCAAGTGCCATTCACAACTCCCGTCGGTATTACACTATTTACAAGAATTCTCCAATAATAAGGGAACTACCTGAAATACAATATCAATAACAGCAATCACAACAAGAATAAAGATAACGTAATGCAAACAAATTTGATGTATAAAATAATTCTAAATCAGAATAATTTCTCCTTCTGGAAGTTATACACAATACAACTTATGTTAATTAATTTAATAGTTAATAATTAAATAATATATATAAAAATATTAAATACTGAAATTTTTCATTAAGAATCTAGAAAATGTATGATTAATATGATTAAACTGATCACCATTGATAAGAACAAACGTTCTCATACTACTTTTTCATTACTGATTAAACCTTATCAGTAGACGGGAATTAGTTTTAATACTTTTTTTAGAAGAATGATTATTTAAAATTGCATTTATTGATATTTTTGTATTGAAAGAGTTTTTAGTGTGATTTTTCGTTAATCACAACAAATAATAAACAAATAATTTACAACACAGAAATGCATACGATTCGTAATATTATGGAATGTCCAAAACAACGTGTTTAATCGTGATTTCACTCTTCAATTGTATTTTAAGTAACTACTGACATACTCTATTTATACATATATTTTATATATTTTCTTTTAATACTCGTAGATACTTACTATACTGTAAATAAATTTCACAAAATATCAATCTTTATTTGATATAATATTTTTTCAACTTTCTAATATTTTTTACAGTCAAATTTACTGCGAAGGACCCCTCCTGCACACTGTGCAAATGGCGCATTTATTCAAGGATTCAAAGACATTTGTTGATATGAAACTTAAATATTCACCGGAAGAAACAAATCTTAAATTCACAGAATTTATGACTTCCAAAAATAATACACCGACCGAGGATGATATAAGAGAATTTGTAAATGTAAGTTTTTCTAGACAACTCTCTTTTATTATCTTACCTATCTACTTATTTACTAATAATAAAATATTTTAGAATCATTTCGATGATTTAGGTAAAGAGTTCGTACCTTGGTTGCCAGCAGATTGGAAAGAACATCCAGCTTTCCTTGACAGCATTTACGATCCAGATCTTAAACAATGGGCATCCGATCTTAATGGAATATGGAAAGATTTAGGTCGTAAAATGATAGATGATGTATTTAAAAACCCTGAATATTATTCCATAATACCAGTTGAACATCCAGTAATTGTACCTGGTGGTCGTTTTATTGAATTCTATTATTGGGATTCTTATTGGATTATACGTGGTCTTTTATATTCTGAGATGTATAGCACAGCACGTGGAATGCTTGAAAATTTTCTATCCATTGTTAAACGTTTTGGATTTATTCCAAATGGTGGTCGCATTTATTACGCCACACGTTCACAGCCACCACTATTAACAGCTATGATAAAATCATATGTAGATTTTACGCAAGATGAGAAATTTGCTTTAGATGCACTTGAAATATTGGAACATGAATTTGAATATTGGATGAATAATCATACAGTACAAGCTAAAGGTCATGATATGGCTACTTACGGTGGTAGTTCTAAAGGTCCAAGACCAGAATCTTATCGTGAAGATGTTATAACTTCCAATTCATTCGTAACTAATGAAGAAAAAGAGAATCACTATTCTGAATTGAAGGCTGCAGCAGAATCTGGTATGGATTTCAGCTCACGTTGGTTTATTAATGAAAATGGCACAACCCAAGGCAATTTAACAGACTTGAAAACACGCTCAATCGTTCCCGTCGAACTCAATGCTATATTGTATTGGAACGCAAAAATAATTGCAGAATTTCATTTAAGAAACAATAACGTGTCTAAAATGACAGAATACATGAATAAAGCTGAAAAGATTTTAGAGGTGAGTATTCTTATATTATTATTAATATTCTTAAGATTTTATTTTAAAATTATTTTATTCCATAATTTTCGTCACCACCATTTTAGCCACCATTTTTATATTAATACAAATTATTTAAAAATATATACACTAGTAGGTTTTATCGAAAGAAGTAACGTTCGAATAATTCAAATATGCTTGATTTAAAGGCAGGGAATCTTCAGAAATATGTTACCTGCTGGAAAGCACTAACACCATTTTTATATAAATAGGTCATATTTATAATTATAAAATTATAAATGTATTATAAAAATATAATATATTTGTATATTATATTCTTTTTTTGTGACCAAAAATATTTTATAATAATTTATGAGCGGAGTAATTGATCATTTAAATAAAAATAAAAAAAACTATAGTTTGTTATTTATATTTAAAACAAATTATATTTTATTATGATATTTTACGATATTTCGATTATAGTCATCTTCAGAGAAACTAGTTTCCGAAAAATATCTTAATAAAATTATAGAATTTTTATTTTTATTTAAATGACTAATAAGCCCGTCCATATTTTATTATTTATATATTATATATAATATACATATATAATATATTTCTATATTATATATAATATATAAATGTAATATACAAATATATTTTTTAATATACTTATTAACTTCAACAAAACTCATTACTTATAAGTATATGGAATAGATACAATTCAGAGATTAGGGGAATTTTCAAAGCAATATTTATTTTCAAATTATGAAGCAGAGTACAATGAAATACGAAGGTTAGTTAACAATATAAAATTGCTAGAACTTCAAATATTGTTCGACCTCTACAATCATTTTGATGTTCAAGTAAGCTAGTACACGAGTATTATATATGGGCCAAACACTGCAAATTGTTAGAAAATATGGTCGACGGGTGTTATTATATGTGTTGATATAAAACAAAATGAAAATGATATGAAATCTGAAACAGATTTGCTATTCGAACAGTTCGAATATGTATATATTCTAACTAAAAATGAAGAAAAAATTTTTTATTGATATAATCAATGAAATTCAAATCAATATTTATGATTATGAAGTATGGTATACTACAAACAAGAAAGGATGACGACATTAAAATCGAGCATCTGTTATCAATACTTGAATATTGCCTGCACAATAATACGCCCTTCATCATCGATCAATTGGAGCAATTAGGAGCACTTATGCAATGGTTTATCTTTTGATTACACATATTATTTTGGGCAACCTTTAAGGAGTTATGATCCCATATACCCCGCTGTTTCAGGTTTATGCATACATAAATAATATAATGTTTGTTATTTAATGATTTTGTGAACTGTTATCACAATGCTTTTGAAGTTTACCGAAAACTTTAAATAAATATATACAGTATAAGAAATATATACAGTATAAGGTATATACAGTATAAGGTATATACAGTATACTTCTTATGTCTTTTAAAAAACAGATATAACATATAAGTACACACGTTCTCATATATGCTCAAATATCTATATCACTTTTTTAAAGGCCATCCAAGACGTGCATTGGAATGAGGAAGTTGGTGCATGGTTAGACTACGATCTTATAAATAACAAACAACGTGATTATTTTGTCCCAACAAATTTAGCACCATTATGGACGAAAGCATTCGATATTAAGGATTCGGAAAAAATTTCAAAAGCAGTATTGCAATATATTGAAAATAATCGCCTTGATAACTATCCAGGTGGTGTACCAAATACACTCTATCATACAGGAGAACAGTGGGACTTTCCAAATGTATGGCCACCCATGCAATATATACTGATTGAAGGTTTGAAAAATTTGGATACACCAGAAGCGAAGAATTTATCTACTAGCTGGGCAGAACGATGGGTTAAATCAAATTTTGAAGCTTATCGTGAAACCAGAAATATGTTTGAAAAGGTAATATAACAATATAAAACAATAGCTATATGTATAATACGAGTAACATATAATAATTAAAATATTTTTGTTTTTCAGTATGATGCTGAACATTTTGGTGGACATGGCGGCGGTGGAGAATATGAAGTACAAAAAGGTTTTGGTTGGTCAAATGGCGTGATTTTGGAATTATTAGCTAAACATGGACGCCAGCTTTCTGTTTCAACTGACGGAGCAGGTGACAAAGATAAATAAATTAAACATATCCATCACTTGTTTGTTATTATGTGTGTTGTTTACATATTTCTCTTTTTCATAAAAATCTTATTGTTTCTAGTAGAATTTAATAAAATTAGGTAGAAATTATGTATTAAAATTAAGATAATTTGTGATATGTTTCGAAGTTACAATTTAAATAAAATAAAAATCTCGAAATAAAATGAACATTCTTAAATAAAATCATTTTTATGTTTTTGTTTAAATTTTATAATACTATTTTTTTTTTGTGAAATGTTTATAACTGTTATAAATTGTTATAATTTGTCTGTCTTGTAATGTGTTCTATTTTCGTCTAGCTTCGAAAAATGTGAGGTTTTTAAAGTGTTATATTTGATTTCAATTTACATCCACTGTTTTGTGTTATACTTTCGTAAAAATACAGAGATGTTAATTTGTCTATGTAAGAAATTGTATTAATTGAAGTAACATTAAAGAAAATCTACACATTTGTTATGTAATTGTGTTGAAGATATAAACAAAACGACTTAAAGTAAGTACATTAATTAATTAAAAATTAACTAAATCATAACTTCTACAAACATTTTTGTTTATTTTAATATATTTTATTATTCTATCTGAATAATAGCCTGAGAAACTCCATAAACATTTCTAATAGCATAATTATTATCCATTTCATATCATATAATAACTGTGAACTTTTATATTAATGTGTTTAATAATAATTCTTATATTAATTGTTATAATTTTATTTTTCATGATATTTTTAATGTTATTAATATATAACAAACATAAACAAAATAAGCAATATTATTTTTTTATAAAAAAAAAAACATAAATTAAACAAATACCACTACCACAATTTTATTCAGTCATTTTTGTAGTTAATAATTTTCAATTTTACAAATCTAACATACATTTTCCATTTATATATAATCGTATATATACATATTCATTAATATTATACCATTTATTTCTGCCTTTAAATAAACGACTTAAGACTTCGTATATGTAAATAAATGTTTTTCAATAATTCCAATTTTAGTTCAAATGAATGTAATGAACATCGTTGGAGTGACTGCAATTACTCTAATAGCAACAATACTTGCAAGACTTATGTGGTAGAAAGATTTTAACCACGAAGCAATCTTCAGAGGGGCAGCTCCATGATTAAAACAGTGAATTTTTTTCGTTACATTGAAATATTTTTTGTAATTGTTAATTATTACTAGCTAATGTTAATTTTAAAATAAATATATTATTTGCAGTATTAAAAAATAATTTATTACCATATTAATATTTGTTTTTTATTTCTCTTTTTATTTTTGACAATATTTAACATATTTGTACAACAAATTATGAGCTAATAGTTTGAAAATTTTTAAATTTATATATATAAACATTTCGTTTTTTTTTTATTTTTTACTCGTTAAACGAATTACAAAATTTAAACATTAACAAATTATTTACATTATACAATTTATGATATTGTTTCTAATCGGAATAAACATAGTACACAATTTAAAGTTTTGGAAACTTATATTAATATAACTTTTTTTTAATTTTGAAAAGAAATAGCATATGTATTTTCATTTTTATAAAATTTTTAATATTAACTCTTACACCACACATTTATAATTAATATTCAAAAGAAATTCAGTATTATGCTAATCCAATTATATATCCTATGCTACTACATCAAAAGAAGAAATAATTTGATGCGTTAAAAAAAAGAATAATTTAATGCATAAACTCATTTTAACGTCATACGTCATACAAAGGCTTATGATGACGACATCGGTTCGTGACTAAAGTACGGTGCTGTATTTGGTGTTAGTAAAGTATGGCACATATCACAGACTCGAGCGACTCTTTTACGTGGTCCCGATGGAACAGTTTTTGTAAGACATTTATCGCAATATATAATACCACAGTGACGGCAATGTATTCTACGTACAGTTACAGTAAAATTTGTACTACATGATGGACAATTATCTATATCTTCATCATCCTGCCAGCGGACATTTGTGTCAGCTTGTCTTAGTTTCTCCAAAGACATCTTAAATTTATTCAAGAGTAAATATATATGTTGTTAAATGAAAACATATTAATAATAAAGAAAAAAATACCTGCAATGTTTGTGATAATTTAACAAAATCTTTTTGCACTTGTTCACTTGTTATTAAATCATCTTGAAGATTCTTTATTTTGGCTTTGGAGTCAGAATTAATTTTATTTAATTTTTCCTGTAATTGCAATACAATTAAAAGTATTAAGAGAAATTGGTAATTTTATAAATTTTTATATACCATAGATAATAAGTTTAGATACGTTGCTTAGGCATTTAATTGTATTATTATACCAAATTTAAAATACTTTATAAACAAATTTAGACTAAATTAGAATTAAATAGGGTTATGGTCTGCCAAGAGAGCATAACACTGCGACCATGATAGACCTTTAGTGCTAGAAACATACTCAATTCTTCTAATGAAGATCAAAATATCCTTCGTTAAAAATTTTCTTATATCTATTCAGACAGATCCATTTCGATGATAACGCAAGGCATGGTGACTTGTCAGAATACCTGGTAGCAGCCTCAACTCAGCTTTATTGAAGAGGAACATTTTAGCAGAGTTGAGTACCAAGTTCTACTACCAGCACTTTTAGCCATTATCTCACTTTTAGTAATAACTAAACAGATTCTACAATATAGCCCAGGTTTATAAAATTGTATGGTTGAATGGATTCTTGTGAAATCATCAATGGATTCTGACCATCAATTCCAGCATGTCCAGGCGCTCAACAAAGCGCTACAGGAATTTCTTGAGAAATCATCAATGGATTCTGACCATCAATTCCACCATGTCCAGACGCTCAACAAAGCGTTACACGGATTTTTCTTGCCAGTAGCAATACTGACTAATGATGGATAATGCTTTATTTGCTGCTGGACTATATGTTTAGTTGACATATATATACTTAGTTGACTAACAATGGATCACATACATTGCTGACTTACACTGGGTCATACACTTTGTTAAAACTAAAAATAGTTTTCGATTTGTTCAGATTATAGTAATTACAAATTTGTGTTGAAGTGCGGATTATTGAGTCTTGACAGCCTACTCTATTACATACATCTTCACATCTACATAGACTTTATAGACATCTTATTCTGTTATAGCACAATCAATTTCTATATTTTTTGATATTTTCTTTTGTAAACGTTTTCAACAACCCTATAAATATTTTCTAATGCTTTTATGTGACCATTATTTGACGGAGCGTCCTCTAAATAAAGAACACATACTTTGTCACTTGATTCTGACCTATAAGAATCATTTAAAATTAAATAAATAATCGATATGTCCTTATTATGGACCTTAAGGTAATATTTTGATTGAAATATTTACTTACATTTTTTTCTTGCAATTCAATTATATCAACACGTAGTTCAGAAATTTGTTTATTTAATTCTGATTCTCTTCTTTCCAGTGCAATCTTTGTCGTTTCATAATCTTGAACTTTACGTATATGCTCTGTCAAACGGTCCCTGTTTTGGAAATAATATTTTTAAATTAGTTTGTGATAATATTAAGTTTATACCATAGAAACTATATTGAATATGGAAAAGTTTGCACTTGCTATTAATAAATATGTATGTAAGAAATTATTTTTAACTATATTTGTAGAGAATTTTAAAGTGATGCTTTTCAAAAATATATATATATAGTGATGCAGTCTATTTTTAATTATAGTGAAGTAGATCTTTCAGCGAAGATCTACGAAAAATAACAAAAATATAGAGAAATAGACTGAATAATAAAATTTATATATGAAAATCACAAAAGTTATTTAAAAAGGTTAGTGTTTCATTTATGTGTTTGCTCTTAATAAAATAAAGATTTAAAAAATTAACCAAAATATTACTTACTGTAGTGATTTGGTAGATTTTTCCACCTTTTTCTTATATTCCCGTTGTTCATTACTGCTAGCATTTAATTGATCGCGTAGAATTTGTATTTCATCTATTGAACTAAGACATTTTTTCTTTTTGAATTCACTATCAACACGAGCTTGTATTAATTCGTTTTGCAGTCGTAACATAAGTTCCTGTAATTCTCCAACAGTATTCGGTAAATTTATAAATTGATTATCAATTTCTTCTGCAGTTTCCAAATAAAGTCCAGAAAGAAAATCATTATCAGCTTGTAGCATTTCTAATTGTTTATTCACCGTTTCCCTATCATCAGTCACACGTTGAAGTTGACGACCAATTTCATCCTTCGTATTGTGAAATTTCTGTTGTAGCTCTAACAGCTGTTGTTCATTTTGTTTAACCTGCTCACGCAGAAGTTGAACTTCTGTTTTATGTGCCTCTCTCTTTTCTTGCCATTGCTCTTCTAAATCTTTGCGTAATGCTGCTTCTTTCTTTAAATCATCACAAGATTCCGTTATATTCTTTTGTAAACTTTCTACTTTTTCTTCGTACCAATTTTGTTTTGTCACCATTTCTTGAATTTTTGTTTCGAAAGTAAGACATGAATCGCATACTGTATTTGTCACATCAAAGGAAGTGGACTTATTTATACTACGACAATCTGTTTTATTTTGATTATCAGATTCATTTTCTACTACAGTACTTGGTGGATTAGTTTGTAATTTTTCATCAGCTTCACGCAATTTCTCTTTTAATACATTCATTTCTTCTTGTAACTGCACCAATATCGTTTCCAGCACCTCAGCATCTTCATGTGCCTAATAAATGTTCATCGATTATTCTTTAAATTCTTATGAATAATTATAAATCATATTACATATTGTTTATTGCTGTCTCTAGTTCGATTAGATTCATCAATACTCTCTTGATGAAAACTATTACCTAACAAGGAACCTCCATCAGAACGTTCACCGCCTAATTTACGTACCAAAGTTTTTTTTACTTGATTTAACATTTGCGGTCCCAAACCCAAGTCTTGTTGTAGTGGTTGTTGTTGTTTTTGCTGCGCATGCAACAAATTCTCTCGGAGTTCACGATTTTCATTCCGAAGCTTGTCAGTTTCTTGTTTTATTCGTTCTAATTCCGATTTACAATTTGTGGTTTCCTCAAAGGTATCTTTTAATATGGAAAATTACATGAATTATCAAAATTTTAATTTACGAAATTACTGGTTGTAAAGAACCCGCACAACATACCTTGTACCATTTGCTGCAATGATGAAATCTCTTCCTGTGACCTCATTTCTTTTAAACGCATTTCATTTTCACATTTTAGATCGGCAACTAGAAATTGGCTTTTGAGCTCGTCCAATTCCTTTTCTAGTAATTTTTTTTCTGTTTGGCATTTAGTATGTTCTGCCTCCTTTTGTATAAACAAATCTTTCATTTTTGCACGTTGCATATTAAATTCAATTTGCATTTTTCGATTTTCTTCCTCTAGGCGTTGCACCTGCTGCGCTGAATCAGCTAAAAACAATTATTTAGTTTTCTGTTTTTTTTTTCAAACTTATTTATATAGTTATTTACCACTATTGCCATCAGCCATTATGACCTTATTTAAATCGCTGCTATACTTCAGCTAAATATTTTACAATAACATTTTTATCAAAATTATTCTAAATTGTTTTGAGATGTATTAGCAACAAATTTTTTTTAATGCTGCCATACGTTTATATTAATGCAGAAAAATGTATTCTTTATGGTATTTAGCGTTCTTGTGTGTTCAACTATTGGTTGAACTACATTTTTTATTTTTCAGTAGGTGGAAAACATCGAGAACTACAGTGTGAGACTTGAACCCACTAAGACTATCTCTTAGGACTTCAAAATGAAAAAATATTAATCATAGGACCATCAAAGAGAAAAGCTGTAACCATATTCCAGTAATCAAAGAAAGGCAGGTTTTATAATATATTAGGCTTGGTATTTATACTATTTAATATCGACTTTTAATTCATTAATTCTTCATGTTTGAAATATATCAGTACATGCAGTGACGCAGTTAGATCTAGTACCTAAAGGAACCACTTAAAAACATTATATGTATTATTATTAATACATTCACACTGTCTCATTTAGGCATTTGTGTATTTATATTAATCAGTGAACTTTTACATTATAATGAGCTCTATCATAACTGATAGAACTATGATAGAAATTAAATGCAAGTTGCAAATCAATTCAGTATATATAATAGAGGTGTTCAGATATAGCTTTTCAATTCGTAAAGTAATAAAATGACAAATTTTTGAACATTCTATTTTAATTATTTCTTGATAAATTTATAGAGAGGTTTCGAAAAGTAGTGAACTATAACAACAAAAAATCTTTTTATATTACTTAAATTATTTGAATTTTTGGCTGACCATACAGCAGTTTCGAGTGTTGCCAAATACCGAGTACTTAATTATTCGTAAATAATTTTTTTTAAAACTAGTATTAGGAATTGAACTCGTGCCCTGGCAAATTTGAAACTCAGAGTCAACGTTTATTAGCCAACTGATGCAAAGCCGACTTGACTTGGCTTGGTATATTTATACAATTGAACTTTCAAACTACGTCTTCATTTGAATGTTTAATTATCTAGTTATATATGTAACTGCTTGAATGAAGATATATCAATATATTTTTATAATTTGTCAAACATATGACGTATAATCATTGCACACGCATACTACAAACGTGCTCTTAGTATAAAAAGCAACTTAAAATCACTTTATTATTTCTGACAACTAGTTGTTACTGCGTCACTTTAATATATCTGACAACTAGTTGTTACTGCGTCATTACTGGACTATTTTTTGACCCGAACAAAATCAATTCCTGTGTAAAAATAAAAATATGTGCAAACACATCTATGTGGCATCTTTTTTTAACTGTCAGTCAATTACTATCCACATGTTTTGTTTTATTTTGCGATTTAAGTAAATGGAAATTTTTATAAAATTCTTTTTGAAATATTGTTAAAATGGTAAGTATTATTATTTACCACACTAAACTTCAATAATTTTTGATTATTTTTTTGCAGGGCAAAGGAAAAAAATCATTTATTGATCGTAAAAACGCAGTGACATTTCATCTGGTACATAGAAGTCAACATGATCCTTTAGTCACTGATGAAACAGCACCACAACATGTTCTAGTTGAGGCTACTACCCGTAAATCTCAAAAACAAGAGACCGAACCTTTGAACTTAGAAAAGCAGATTGAAGAACAAAAGAAATATGGAATCAATTTTGACGACGATTATAACTATTTACAACACTTAAAAAAACCTGAACAGGAAACTGTTTGGGAGTACGTTGAAAATCCTAACCATGTCCGTAAGCGTTTAGAGCAGGGTGAGATTACCACAGCACCAAAATTAAAACTTCCGAGCTCTGTTTTTGCATCTGAGTTTGAGGAGGATGTTGGCATGCTTAACAAAGCTGCCCCACATCCTGGTCCTCGACCAGATTGGGATCCAGATGTTGTAGCGGCATTAGATGATGATTTTAATTTTGATGATGCTGAAAATCAACTAGAAGACGATTTCGTATTAAAAGCAATGGAAGAAGGCGATGAAAATGATGTATTAACTGATAATGAAAGTGAGCGAAGTTTCGATACAGATGATATGAGCGACATTGATGAAGATGATGTTGAAGAGTTTATGGACCGCCTTGCGCCATTAATGCGTGAACGTAATTTTGGTGATGAGGAAACTAAGTCACGATTTACAGAATATTCGATTTCGTCCAGCATCATACCGAGGAATGAACAACTTCAATTATTAGATGAAAGATTTGAAAAATTCTATGCAACTTATGATGATCCAGAATTGGGGGATTTAGCAATGGAAGATATAGAAGGAACATGGCATCAAAAGCATCCATACATTATGGGCTGCTATAAAGAATTTAAAAAATCTAAAAAATTAGAAAAGTATGATAAAAACTGGGATAAAGAAAGAATTAAAAAATATGAAAATATTGTAGATGGTGAAGTTGATCCTAATGATGAATTAGTTGAATTTGAGGTACCTGATACACAAGATAAAAAATGGGATTGCGAATCTATCTTGTCTACATACTCAACAATTTATAATCATCCAAAATTAATTGATGAACCCCGTAATTCTAGGCGCAGTAGAAATAGCTCTATGAGTAACAATCAAGAAAAAATAGAAATCGATCCAAAGACAGGTTTGCCTACAAATGTCTTGCGAGGTGGAGAGAATCAACTTACGATAAAAACATTAGCAAAGCTCGATGGTAGCAATAATCCTATCTTAAGTGGACCAAAATCTCTATGCGCGAAATCAGTCTTGTCAACCCTTAGTGTGCTTTCTATACGACCAAAAGATGAAACCAATGAAGAGAAAAAGGAACGTAAGCGTTTACTTAAAGAGTATAGACAAGAGAGACGCATTGAAAAAAAGGCTAATGCCGATGCCTTTAAAGAAGAGAAAAAGCGACAAACGCATGTTAAACTAAATCAAAGACAAAATCAACAGGGCAATACAATTATTTAGATATAAAGTTAGTAATAATATTAAATTATTTTTCGCATGAAATTTATTTCCAAAAATAAATTATAGAAGAAATTAAAACAAATCTTTTGAAAATAAAACTGCTCATAGTTTTGTATTGATGATTGTATCTTTTATATATATCTTCAACATATACAGTAATTTAAAATTTATTTTTAAATTAATATATATATACGGGTATTCCAATAAAAAGATTATTGGAGACAACTGTTCTATCTGTGAACACATCATTTGATGTTGATTTAATAAAATGTTTATATATTAAAAACCTATAATTACTAATTTATTATTTAAAAGACCGATGACACTTTGTCAATGTCATGTATATCATTTATAATCTCCTCTGTTCTTGTTCCAATTTTTTTAGCGACTTCATTTTTTTGAGCATTAGACATCAACATGAATGACCAAATCAAATCACCATCAATTATACAACGACACGGATTCAGTGATAGTTTCTTTGAAGATTTTATAGTGCGAAATTCTTTCGGATTCAGTCCACATAAATGTTCCTGATACGACAGTAATACGTTTTGCAACATTAGAAATCTACGATAAACTTTTTCTGGCAGAGGTAAACAATAACCAATACCACCATCAAGTGTTCCAAATACAGCTAAATGCTTATTTTCATATAAAAATGGTTGTCTTAGCACTGCTCCTCGCTGATGACATTGTACACGAAACATTGTATTTACACTCTGTCCGAGATAGTAATCTGCTTTGCGTATTAGTTTTTGACCTCCAATGGATTCACGGGATTCTGGCTGATACATATATACAATAAAATTCTTTTCTATATCGCTGACAAGAAAACCGAGATTTGTATTATCGACTAGGAATTCAATGTTAAAAACTTCTAGTCCATTAAAATCTCTCGAAGCTAAAGAAAGCGTCCGATATTCTTCTTGAAACCTTAACAAACTAATCGATTTATAAACGTCTGCTATAAGTATGAGTGATTTCACTGAAATAATTTCATGCACATAAATATTTGTATCTATAAAAGCAACGCCAATTAAATCATCATCTTTCAACTGCCATAAATATATTTTTTGACCCAAAGCCGTTACCAGAAAACCAAGTACGTCCGAAATAGCTGACACAGGACCCTTCTGCTCCTTTTTAAATATCTCTTTTAGTTTAAATTTTGTTAACGGTTTACCCGGTTCAGGCACAACTTCAATAATGTCATATATATATATATTACCGCGTGAAGTTATATCTTCACTGTAATTGAAATTAGTTCCAATGCACAAATATTCCTTAAGACCTGAACGTGTACCCTCATACGCAAGTTTAACAACTTTGAAAGCAGTTACATGTTCCCAATCGTCAAATTGTATCGATGCATCCGGAACTATTTCCCATGTTTCAGGACTCATTAAAACCATATTGAATTTAGAAATATATGGATATATAAAACGCTCTCCTTTACTTTCCTCTGTTAACTCCTTATCTTCACCATTGAAACGATAATATTTATTTGAAGACTCTTCAGTTTGTGTTATTAAACAATAAACTCGATTTTCACGTAAGTAAACGATTTGTCTTGGACTGCAACGTAATGGTACTTTTCGTATGGCCCAGGGAGAATCATACGTAAGGTAACTGGGTAAAACAGATATCTTCAGATAATAAGTAGTATCGAAATATAGGAACCCTTGTGGACAATTAATATTGTTAAAAGGTGCAAAGCTCCGTATAGAACTATTACCAAAAATTTTATGTACTCGTAACTCGCCTTTTGTGGTTAGAAATACTAATCGAGGATTAACTCCACATATCATAACACCATTCAGACCAGATATGTTACCAAAATAACGTATTTTACTAATATTTCGCTCTTCCAAATTATATAAATCCGTCTCCATATAATCATAGTCATCCACATTTAGAAATTCACTCTGCTGTTGCAGTAAATTTATGCTTTCTAATTTACGAAACCGTATTTTTAAATGACCTTTAGGATACCTATACACCTGATAGATTAATACTTCTAATCGTGTGCGTATAAAAAGCAAGGGACGATTGCCATGAGTACCTAAACCAAAGATAGACAGTTCTTGAACCTTTGGTGAATTAGGATATTGTGACATACAATTCAGAAGTATGCCACTTTTGTTATTTTCCTGATTATTCAATGATATTGGCACAAATTCCATAGAATCAGTCAACACCGTAGCTGCATTGCCAATATCATTCACTAAATAAAGTAGTTTCATATCTGGCATTGAATAAATTTCCAGAGTCCCGCTCTCTCTTGCTGTAATTAGCCAATATGTTGGTTTAAACTGTGTCAACAAACGTCGCCACCAGTCCGAATTTTTCTGTTTAGATTGTTTAGCTAAATCTGCCATGCTATTCATTTTAAATGCGTTTCCAGATTCACCATATAACAAATCTTCCTCGTCTTCGATTTTCATATGAGGTTCAGCTTTCATGTAGCCCAGACCACCGCTGTAAAAAGAACTTCCTGAAGTACCGGTTAAATTGAGTACGTCGTCACTTTTAGTAGTAAATAAGCCAGAAGTATCTTTATATGCTGCAATAGATACAATGGCCGGATAATTACTTATTGTACTTTTATTTATAGCTAATCGTGGTGTATTCTTAGTTTCACGTAAAGCAAGCGTCATTACTTGTCCATTAGCAAGACGTAAACATACATATGGATCAGATATAGAAACTTGCACTACATGTGATCCAACATCAATTGGTACGTTTTGTATTAAACGAGTTCCTTGTAGTAAACGAACATTTTTTGATGTAACTTGTATTATAAATCGATTTTGCCCCAAATTTCCTACAAATATTGTAGCTTGATTACAAGTAAATCCTGTATTTTCAATTTCATTTATTTCTTCACCAGTCTGCAGCACCAATGTTGATGACTTTTGTGACAATATCATAAAGTCGTGATGATCAAAATACATTGTTTTCTTAGTAGGATCATCATATATCGTCCACACATCTATACAACCATCCAATTCAAAACTTGTTATAATTTGGGGATTTATACAGTTGACAAATACACTAAGTGCACCATTTTTAGAATGCCCGGTTGATCCAACAATTTCGATTTTTATATCAGACATATTTTCAGCTTGTGGACGTAACGTTACACCATCTTCTTCAAATTCGATACGTTCTCCAGTACAAAAGAAATTAATAGGGCCAACATTTAACATGCTATCACAAACTTCAAAATTATATTTGCGTAATTGTACTGAAGTTTTTGCACCTGAACCATATACCTCTAATTCTTCATCCTCTACTCGATGTACTTTACTTGACTCCTCTGTAATTATTTCCATTTCCGGCTCGTCAGCTGCATCTTCCAAAGTAATAACTGTACTTTGATCCTCTTCAGTGAAATGTAACAGCAACGAGTTTCCTAATCGTGATCCAAGAAACAAATATTCCATTTGAAATACACAAATACAGCTTGTGAGTACACTGGCTGCAGCCTTATGAAAATGAAAGTTACGGACACTTCTCATAGAATCAACGCAAAGCGTTAGTACATATAAATCACCACCTTTAAGCGAAACAACTAATTTATCTGTGTCAATGAATGCGAGTCTGGCTGCATCTAGACTTATGCGCACTCCGTCTTGTGGTTTTAGAGGAAAAGCAGTACTGTGATCTGCTGAACTATTTAAACTTACACCATAAGGTGGAACACTCTAGAGAAGAAAAATAGTTTAACAGTAGCATATAAATATAATGATTATGTGTATACCTGATTCAAATAAATTATTGCATTAACAGATGTAACAAGACAGCCTCCTATAGGTTTTTGTATAGGAAATACTTGTAAACAATCAAATGGTAATCCGCTAACAGTCCATATAATAGGATGTACACGTTGTTGAATGTTAAGTGATATAGCAACTAGCACGCACGTATCTGAACGTACTGCAACACGTCCAGGATAAGTACGTACTGGTTCATAAAGTATAAGAAGTGTCGGTTCATAATAACCATGTAGAAATTGTAAATCTAACACATTGTCTATTTTTTCATCCAAATCCCGTAATGTTATAAGATACGATGCCAATATAGGAGTTCTTGAAATTAGTGTGGTAGGCGTTTTCTTTATAGGTTTTACATCAGCTAATTCTATTTCATCCAAACTATTGTCTTTTCGAAATGGTAGAACAACCAAACGTTTGCCGTAAACAAGCATTACAGCACAACGAGAATCTGGGTCTACTCGCACCATAGGAATATAATATCGACCAGTCCAGCCTCCACGTACTTCATCTTCTTCAAAGAAATGTAACGATAATGTTTTTAACGAAAATGTATCGGGATCATGTTGCACGACTGCAAGTTTAGCATCTTTGAAGCTAATTAATAATGCATCTCGAAGAGAGCCGGCTAATGATACACTCTGAAGTGACATTACATTTCCATACAATGTATACGATGCCATGCACTCCAACCGCATTTTAGGTGGAATACGAATTTCATTTGGGTTAATTTTTTGTCGTTGTATACTATCTACATAGGGATATATACGATATACTTTCAGTACATTTGCTCCAGCAATAACCAGATTATCTTCGTAATTGTTAAAAAATCTACATGAAATTGCATACTCCACTGATGTTGCTGGATGTGTTTGTTTGCACAAAGAAAACATTGTGCTTTATTATTTATTATATATCTCAAATTTTATAGATTATTACAAATATTTAAAAATATGAAAAAAAACGTCTTTTGACTATAACCAAATGTTTATCGTACACAAAACATTTGGTTTCGCTGTCACTTCACATATTGTATTATCGATAATTAAGCGTGGTGTAGATTCGATTAATATTTTGCGATTTTAAATTTGAATCGCAAATTTTAACATTTACATAGATTAACACATTCTAATAAATTAGGCACTTTATTTATTAAAATGGTCCTAATTTTGATTCTAGTAAATAAAACGAATAATATTATAAAAACTGAGATCATTTTATATATCAATAATTTTTATTTTGTGTTGAGTACGTGTACATGTTATACACAAATCAATAGATCTGTTTAATAATCTGATAATTGCGTTTTGATTGTAATAAATCTGATATTATCAGTTAACTTTAACTCTTAAAATAATTTATAACAGTTTCTATTATAATAAATACAAAAACATTTATTACAATACAAGCTATAATTCTTGTTTGAAGTTTCATAGGGAATAGCAAATTTCAAACTTTAACAAGAACTATATCTGACAAATATTTATGTAGATCTTATTTTTTGCGTTATTTGATATGTTTTCCAAAAAAATAAAGTTAAGCAGTTTTCATATTGAAAATTCAATTTATTTCTGCAATATCGTAGATTTAAAAGTAGGTAAATTAGTAGACAATATGTCTAAAATGTCAGGACATATCATAAGAGATTAATCTATAAATTTTAATAAATCACATTTGGTTAAACGGAAGAGTCGTTTTAGATGTTAAAAATATAGACATAAAAAATATCATTCTGTACAAAATCGCATGGTATAACAGTGAGATACACATTTGACTCAGTGAAGGACCGAAGTGAGGTAGGAAATTTTCCAACGGAATTTTTTAATTCACTCCATGCTAACGTATAATTGGAACACATTCGGAATTTTAAAATTTGAGTACTAATTATATTACATCAAAACATCAATTAGGAAAAGTTGTACAATATGGAATTAAACGAATTTAGTTTTTTTTAATCCAAATAGATAAATACAGATTTATTGTATACAACTTATTATATAAGAAAAAATTAACTTTAAACAATGAGAAAATTAAACAAATTACTTTTCATAATAATGTATTTATATATATATTTTTTTTTACAATAAATAAATTGTAAGAATTTATTTATTAAGTTAATATATGTATACGCTTTTTCTGTTTCAGTGTTCGATTATTGTAAAAGTTATTGTAAACATTTAAACTGCACGCTTTTTCTGTTTCACTGTTCGATATTTATAAAAATTGGTGTAAATAATACGTTTTGGTTTTGTTAACATGTTTTCGTTCGAAACCAATTGATTATTCTGTTACTTTCTACTTGTACTCAGGAATGAAAAATCTAATACTTTTTTATTTGTTTGTATTTGAAGAATAAAATTTCTAACAATTTAGAAATTAGAATAAAAAATTTCTAATTAATTATGAAATATGATTCTATGAAAAATGAATCTACTCAGTGTGCAAAGTACGTTGATACAGGTGAAACCATATTACAAAGTACTTAAATATAAAACTATTACAACGGACTTAAGTGAATCCGATTTCCAATAAACGGGTTGCTGCTGGCAGCTTACTATATAAACATTTATATCACACAGCTACTATGTCATATGTATTTGATTTTTCATCAAAATATTTTTTTTTCTCCTTTTTCATAATAAAGTAAAAGATCAATCAGTTGTTTATTATAAATTAATATTAAAAGAGGATTTATATCTATGTTGCTATTGGTATTAATTCAACACTCACACGATAATCTATGTTCTATGAGAAAGTAATTATCGATAAATGTATCAGAATGATATTGTTTATAAGATTATATGTTATTTTAATAAGAACACAACAATATTTCTATTATTTATATCGTATAATAAAACATATTCTCTTAAAATACATATGTTCAGGATAAATGTTATTCTGCGTCATTATTATTACTGGTAATATTGTGAATGTACCAAATTGGACAATTCGAGTTCGAAAGTCGAAATATAAACTACCAAAAGATAAGAAACACAGAAACAGAAAGACATAAGTAAATTCACTGCGACGAAAAGAAAAATAAATGTAGTGTAGTTGCTCGAAAACTATATAAAACAATGTGAACAACAAATTGATTATGTTTTATTTACAATTTGTTTAAAACAAAGTTAAAGATAATAAAAAATAAATTTACAAATACAAAACAAAGTTATATTAAAATAATGTACTGTGAAAACTTTGCCATACACATGCACCTAATATATATGTTAAAAAGAGATAAACAATATATTTTAGCTCACACTTGCTTGAAATAGTCACGAAAAAAAAGGAGGTTCTAGTTTTTAAAACGGACTGTCAAAGGCAAAGGGAATAGAAAAATTGATAGCTTTTGTTTGTAGGTTTGTGCACAACTTTTTTTTTATTTTATTAATTTTATGCTATATTTTGAAATAAAGTACTCTGATCTGGAAAATTGGATAAAAAAAAACAATCAAATTATTACATTTGAAATAAGTGAATAAAATGTGGAATTAAAGGACGATGTGTAGTTAACAAAGGAACATTGAGTGTTTGTTGTTGTAATTGAAAGGAAAATAGTAATACGCGAATGAAGCAAAATTAGAAATAGAAATTTAACAAATCATAATTAAGCACAGGCGAACCGAGATTATATATACCTATATATATATAATCAAGTTAGAATAAAAGAAATAATTTTCTAAGAATAACCAAAAAAAATATCTCGGATCAATTATTAAGCGCTTTAATTACAAACTGGGCAACCGGAGATTTAAAACAAATCTTTGATGGCAAATGTAACCTATATTGCATATAAAAATGGAAACGGTTTGCAAGGTAAGTAAATTTTTTATTTGCCTAATAGCTGCGGTATGTAATATAAAACATAAAAATATGAAATTTAAAATTAAGTTTTTATAAATAAAAACAATTCAAATTAAAATTATAATTTTGTGAAAAAACTCCAATAAATATATTTTACATTTAAATTTCAATTATTTTCATAATTTGTTTCACAAACAAAAACAATTTAATTGAAAAATGTAAATAAAATTCTATATTAAATGTTTACTCTCATTTCAGATTGGTTTGAGTTTCTACTTAAAATATTTTATCTTAGCTTGTAAAGCAAACTATAATAAATAATGAAATCTATAGCAGCGGAATCAACATCTTCTTTTCTACATATAACCAACGTAACTGGCGGACGAATTGATTTTCTCTCAACGAACTTTTTAACTACAGCTAAAGGAAATTTTAAAATGGATAATGACTCTCATATAAATCTCATCGATGATGATGACGAAAAAGATCCACTAGCTTTAGATTCTTCAGAACAAAATGTTTTACAGGAGCAAACGCAACCGTCAGTTAGTAGCAAGCACAGCTTGAGGTAAGATATTTTTTATATATGAAATAAATTGTTTGCACTGAAATCTTTATAAAAGATATAATAAATTATTTAATTTTGGGTAAGCAATAATTTTTCATTCTTTCCTTTTTTTAATAGGCGTCATGTTCCTCGAATTATTGTTAAACACTTACAACCAGAAAAGAAAATAAATACAACATCAGGTCCAGTAACATTAGTGACTTCTGCTACAACTACATTATGTGTAACTGGATCCACGACATGTCAAACTGCGACAAGAACCACACCAAGCCCATATAATCGTGCATGTAGCAGTAGGAGAATACAACAGCAACAGCAGGCAAAGGCTGCAGCTGCTGCTGCTTTAATCACAGCTACAACAACAACTGCAACATCTACCACGTCAACAGCAATAACACAAGCCTCTACAATGCGTGAAGTACTGGCATCAATACCTGGTTTTAGTATGAAACCGCGTAGGCGTTCATCTAAAAAAATCTCAACTGCTGCGCAGATTGAACAGACAAAAGACGGGAAAATTGATTTGGAAACACCTGATTCGATACTGGCATCAACGAATCTTCGTGCGCTGTTAAATAAACAGACATTCTCAATGCTCCCGCCTTTCTTTCAGTATAATCTTATTCAACTCCTGCCTAGCGTTGATCGCGATGCTATTGAAGTGGAGCAATTTAGTTCACCGTCATCGGATCAAACACCTATACAATTGGGACCATCCAGTCTTAATAATGAATTTTTTGCCCGCGCTTGTTTAGAGTGGAGAGAAAGGTTGTCTGAAGGTGAATTTACTCCTGAGAATCAAGTTAAACTTAAAACAGAGGCTGAAAGAGAGAAAAACAAGTTAGACCCTTGGAAATTAAAACATTTTGAACCAATTTGGGGAGAGAAATCTAACCGTTCTGATACCGGTAGTGAATTAAAAATGACTTTCAAAAATGCTGATGATGATCCTTGTGCAAGTACTAGTTTATCCACAGTAGCTACTAATATAAATAAGAATGCTGACAGTGTAAATTCTACTAAATCACCTGAGGAAAAGCTTGATTTGAAACTCGAGTCGAAAGATGATTTAATGGCAACAATAATGAAAAATAATTTTGCTTCCACAAGTACCCTTAATCTTACAACTGTAATGCCCTCAAATATGAAAATTACAGATGAGATAAAAATCGATTTAACAGAAACGCAAAAATATGAGGAAAAAGTAGCAGATACTCATCCACAAAGTTTGCAGCATACACAGTCGGATGCGGCTTTAAATTGTGATAAACAGACTGATATTAGAGAAAAGGTAAGCTATTGTTTCTAATTTCTTTTTAATAGAATGCGATTATTTTATAAATGATAATTTGTTAAATTTTAAATTTTTGTATTTGACAACAAAAAAAACTAAAATTTAATTTAATAAAATGCTGGCGATTTACGACAATAAATGTTTAAGAAAAAAAATAATTCCAAAGTTATAATAAAATGATATTGTATTTTTATTACATTAGAAAAATGCGGATTCAAATTCCGATATCAACTTGCTACACTTGAAATCCAATGAGAGTACAATAAATGAAATACAAAAACGGTGTATGAAACGTCCATCTTCAAGCCCAGTCCAAGTAGATGGTAGTGACAAGCGATTAGAAATAGACGAATTTTCTGAATTTCATATAGAGGGCAAACATTTAAAAATTGATGAATTCATTGATATTGTTCCTAGTACAGATATATTACCAGTTACAAAAACATTGATCAACAATTATTCTGAAACAGTACCGGACCTATCTGTCATTCGTAATGACATAACGAATTACCAACAATTACAAAATTCGTTTTCAACAGCGGAAGGTTTAATAGCTTCAAGAACTCCATCTAATATAGGAAAAATACAAAATTTTAATCAGCCTAGTACTTCCGGAAAAAGTTCACTTTTAAACAGTACCTGTGATAGTATTCCTTCGTTATATGCTTCGTCAACGGCAGCTTTAACAAAAACGCTTACAGATTCTCAGCAACAAAGTCAGTCTCAGCAGCAGCAACAACAACAGCAACTGCCGACTGAAGAAATGCATGTTGATTTATGTACAAGCGTTGTACAAATTGACGACGACGATGATCTTATTGAACAAAAATTTGTTGATGCAGAAAGTTATGTGCTAGAGTCAGTTGAAGTTAGCACCGATAGTATTACTGGTAATTATTTCTTCAAGTATAAGAAGCAAGTTTTTTTATATAAATAATTTATTATTAAAGATATGCAAAATGCTGCTAATACAATGGCTGGAAGTAAACATAATTTAAATAATGGTGAATTTTTATTTTCTGGATCCCTAGATCATGGTAAGAATTTATTTTACGTCAATATATTTATTTAAATTTTATGCTACCATGAAAAATTTTATTTTATTATTAAATTTTGTAAATAAAGTTATGTCTAAGTTGATTCATTAAACTCATTAAAAAGATATAAATGATTCCAGAAGACATCGAAATATACATTAAATACGTTTATACATGTTAAACAAGTTCAAAGAGACACATAAAACATCTTTAAATGCACATTAAACACGTTTAAAGACACACACGTTTAAAAACACATTGAACACGTCAAATATGCATTAAATTAAACACGTTTAAACGCACATTAAACACATTTAAAGACACACGCTCTTAAAAATATATTTAACTCGTCTAAATACACATGAAACTCGTTCAAATTAAACCTACAGATTAAAATCATTTAAAGATATATTAAATTCATTTAATAAAAAAAACCTTAAAAATTTAAATTTAATCTAAAAATTTGATCTATTTTAACAAAAAATGATTTTTACATCCCGTGAATAATTTTAGAAATCAATTGTGTAAGATTTTTATATATTGAAAAATTGTATACAAAATTAATAATTTCAATTGTAAAAAGAATAATATTTTGAAATAACTAAATTCAACAATTATTAATATTATTTCCTCATACTTCAATTATTGTTCTATGATTTAAATTTAAATATGCATCTTGCAATGAATTATTTATTTTCTAATAATATTCGACTACATAATTTTTTATTTATAAAATATAATACAAAATTCGTTTGATAGAAATTGTCTGAAAGATGTTTTTAATCACATTCAAAAAGAAAAAACTACAATTTTACTACACTCTACTTTAAGAACTTGTTTAAAAATCCATCTGGCTTTATTATCAACAGCAATATTATTGTATTAAATGCGATCATTAATTTATCGATGTAGTGTAGTTAGTGTAGGGCTGAAATATTTGTAACTTATTTAATGTTGGTTAACATCATAAAAAGGAGTTAATAATCTATTTACTTTATGTGGTAAAAATTTAATGCTTTAAGAAAAATATGTTTAGAACCAATCTATTATTGTGATGTGTTTATATACTTAAATTCTTAATGTTTTCTGTACTGTTTTTATATTTATGATAATTATTTGATATAATTATTCTTATATATATGATAAAACGTATAATGACTTCTGTATTTTGCATTTTAGTAATCTCCTCAGAAATGTGTGATAACGCTTATATAAGTAAATCTATAATCCCAACGATTATTTCATCTGCAACCACCTCATCGTTGTCATCATCTTCAACTTCTCTGTCATCAACATCAACATCAGCAAACAATATAGTTGCAGATATGCAATCCATACTTTCATCGACATCATCATTAACACCTGCACAGCAGAAACACGACGAATCTAAGATAATGGAAGAAGTTGAATTATCTTCCGAACCAACAACGAATGAGATTTTTTTTCATGTGCAACATGATTGGAATTTTGGTAATATTAAAATGCCAGATCAGCCATCTACAAGTAGTATAAACAACATGCAAGGACACCAAAGTGTTATAAAAATGAGCACAATTGGAGATAATGTTGATAAAAATATATCTGTACCTGTGGTAGTTACCAAATATGATGATGAAGATGACACTCAGGTGCGTTCTTTAAATTTTTTAATTTTTCTTGTATTATATTTGAAATTTTTTTATAAACTAAATTCCTTATAGCAATTGGAAAACAAAATAGCTCAACCAATTAAGCATGACGACGATAGCAACGAGAGAATGGAGCAACATGTGGCAAATTCTAAACAAATATTAATAAATCAAAGACAGCATTTGGATTTGCAGATACAGGAACAAGACCAGTTACCACCAAGTTATCAACAACATTCTGAGGTTTTACATGAGGTATGCCAACGACAAAAATTATATTAAATATTAAATATAAATAACTGAATTTAAGTTGCAAATAAATTTTTATTAAATTTAGTGTTTAGTTTCTGTATAAGATATTTCATATAATTACTACAACACAAATATTGTTTATATTAGAAAATATTTTCAAGTTTGTTATAATTACAATGTATAAATCTTGTTAAAATGAATAAATATTACAAAATTTCTGAATTGTACTGATATACAAAAACTAATGTTAATGATAAAAAAAACAAATCTTTGACTATGTAAAAAAAGAGATAAGTATTAGCATTTAAACTAAATTTTTTTTTTAATATATACGCATATAAATATAAGGTAACAAAATGATATTCAGTTAAAAACAGGAAATTACAAACAAATGTGTAAATTCGTATATCCAAAAAAATATATGTGAAGATTTGTTAACCACAATAAATATTGTAAGCAATGAAAAAGATAACTAAAGAAACTAATTTTTTGTTAAGCTGCTTATAAGATTCAGAAATTTTATATAAAACATTTATAAGCGGCTAATTAGTTTCTAGAAGAGTAACGTTATAACTTTATGTTGTACCAGAAACGAAAAAAGTACTAGAACAAATTATCGCATATTGGAAAAATATTACAGCACTGGCTAGCTTACAAAAATGTTTAACAAGATTTTATTATAAAGTGCTACCTAGTTGCAAAAATATAGACCTCAAATATGTCTAATGTAATACAATGAAAATGACACAAAAAATATAACAAGTGCTAGCATTACTTATCAGATTATACACAGAAACAAAAAATCAGTTCTATATTAAGATAGGATTATATTTTTTTGATTTATACTTCTATTATAGTGTAAATTTGAATAATAGTTCAGTATAGTATATGTATGAGAATAGTATGTGTATATAAGTATAGAGTATGAAGTATAATTGTGGTATATATATAAGCATTCGGAATTTATGTTTAAACTGAATTTGATTTAAGCGTGATTTTTTTTTATTGAAACTTAGTAGATTGTTGACTTGGTTCAATATCATATTAATTTCAAGAACGGTCAAATCTATGTCCCGGCACCACTATTCAAATTCAACGATTAAATGCCGTTCCTACATGCTACACCTAAATGTTACAACACAAGCGGATCCTTGTGGGTTACAACAATAACAACATCAAATTTGTATATCCACTTATGTTATGATACGTTGCAAGAATATATTGTTGATAAACGATTTAATCATATTTGTGATATATTACAATAGCCTTTTACAATAATTATAGCTCAAATAAAATTAAAATAACTTATTTATAACAAACAAATCTTTATAAACATATGCGTTGAAGATCATATATTGCATAATATTTATAATTGTTAACATAATTATTGAATATAGTATAGTGTATAACTTTTTCTATATAAGACTTTGAATACATTCATAAGCCTCATTAGGTTATTTGCTAAGTCTATACCTATATATGCAATTTAAAATTCCTAATTCTGAAATGTTTTTACATTTAACATTAAGTCTGAACACAACTACAACTTTTTTATAAATATTTATTATATAATAAAATGATTAATTTTAAAATTACAGCTACTGCCGGATGTAATATGTGAAGTACCTATGTCTACAGCTGAAATGGAGGTTTCCAGCACTGTTGTAACGAATTGTAATTCCAATGATAGCACTAATGAAATGAATTTATGTAGCAGTAGTAATAGCAGCAGTAGCAGTAGAGGAAATATAGATTTAACAGCAATAACACATTTTCAACAACTGTCTCAACACCAGCAACAGCAGCAGCAGCAGCAACATGATCCGACGCAACGACAAATTTTACTCGATTCTAACGGTCAAATAATTGGAAATTTTCTGGTACAACCTCAACAGCATATACAAAATGCACAACAGTTACTACAACATACAGCACAGCAGCTTCCTTTTACATCGACAAATCAGCAGACACCATCATTAACACAACACCAACCACAATCACCACAAAAAGCACATCAATCAATGCAAGTTATGCGAAAACAATTTGAAATTAACGCAAATGGCCAGCACTATTTACCAGATAATGGTTCTCAACATCATCAAATACAACATCATTTGCAACAATTTAATATGCATCAACAGCAACAGCAACAACAACAGCAGACAAACCAGCGTCATTTTTTACCACAGCCACAATCTCAAGTCACAAATACATCAGCTACAACTAGTAGTAGCATTATGCATTCGCATTCACAGCAACAACAACAGAATCATCAACAAATTCAACTTCAACAACATAATCATCAAATGCAACATATTCATCAGCAACAGCATTTATCAAACTATCAAACTCTTTCACCAGCACAGCCTCAAAAATATATTTCGAAGCAATTAAGTATTATACCAATGTCACGCTCAACAACATCGCTTGCTGCCTCTTCATCAAATATTGCTTCATCTGTCGTTATTCCGTCCACCGTAAATACATTTTCTTCATCGTATAATAATGTCACTTCGGCTACGAATCCCACATTAGTTTCGCACTCTTCCACAACTACTTCATCTAATTCGGGTGCTATAAAAGTACTACCGCCATCGGGAGTGCCTACAACAATTGCACAACAGAAAGGTAATGCCAAAATTCCTACAGGAAAGGGTCGGAAAGCGACTACTAACAAAATTCCACCTGGAGCAGTTAATCTTGAACGTAGTTATCAAATTTGTCAAGCAGTTATACAAAATAGTCCGAACCGTGATAACTTAAAAGCTCAACTTAGGCCTCCATCAGCAATTTTAAATCAACAACAACAGCAACAGCAACACAATTCAGTACCAATCACAAACTCAACATTATCGGCACCTTCTGTATCAACCTTATCAAATGCCTCCTTACAATCTTCGAATATGCTGAAGCATGATGATATTAGCACGAATGCTCTGCCAACTGGTATGCCATCTAATGTAATGGGTGTAGGTAGACCCGGTGTTTACAAGGTATATGCTTCTACACAACATATGTAATTGAATTAATAATTAATTATAAAAATATTAGGTAATTGGTCCACGTATGGGATTTCCACGAAAAAAATATGTGCAACGTAAACCATCACCCACTTTAATTCGGCATGTTTTTACGGGTCAAAATTCTAACACTATGCAAGGAAACTCTGGTCCACAATTAACTTTAATGCAACAGCCAATTGTACCCCAGCAACATGAACTGCATCAAAATGGTAGTGGGCAATATGTGTTAATACATCGTGCAAATGTTGGAGCAGCTGACAATCATGCACCTCGAGCATCAAGTGCTCCTCCAGTACCTCAAAATCAAGTAATATTAATTTATTAATGGTTGTTAAAGTAGATAGTTAAATAATAAAATTTAAAATTTTAGAATCAACTGCATAATATAAATGGAATAACAGGACGCGGGCGTCCTGCTTCTGTTGAAGTGGATACATCAAACACCCTGCATGAAAATCCCCACGTTATTAATAATGTTAACACAGCTAACATTGTGCGGCGTAACATTGCAGCAGGTAAATTGGGGTATTTTTAAGCTAGGTAGGTTAGAATCATATTTAGATTAAATGAAAGCAGTATCATTAAACATTTTAATGAAAAATTGCATTTATATAGTAAAAAAAGCTTAGATTAGTTATTATTTAAGAATTAATAATATAGCATTAAATATTTCATCGTTAATATTTATTTAAAAAAATGAAATATTTAATTTTTGGAACTTATGATTAAAATTTTTGTTGTATACTTTTTTTTTAATAATTTTTTTAAATATAACATTTATATTAGTAGTATTCGGGAAATTTTAAAATCCATACCATATAACTAATAGCAATTATTTAAGACTTGTGAAACTATTAAACAAACCGAAAAATCTATCGATGATACATTATTGAAAAGAAGGAATCGTGCACTGCGACCTAGGTAAAATATCTATTGTGCTCCGTAGTCGGATTATTGTTTCTCCGATTTCTTGAATAAAATACAATATAGAGCCTATCTTTTCTAATCTTAAATTCTTATGATCCATGAAATATCCTCCTAGATGTTTCTTCCGCTTGTGCATCAGGGCCGGGCACTCCCTAAGCACATAGCAGTTTCTCTCTCTTCTCTACAGTATCTGCAGTCTGAGTTGGATTGAATTCCTAACTTTAATAGGTGATTATTTAATCTACAGTGACCGGTCAATAATCCCGTAATAATTCTTAGGTTATTTTTGAATTGTGTTATACAATCTTTGAAGTGTCTTAGGTTGTATATCCGATAATATATTACTTCGAATATCAACACGAATGCATCTTTTTCTATGAAGACATATGCTTATGTTCTATTAAATAAACTGAAATTAATGTGTGTCATGCCATTATTGAGTCAAATTGAATATGGATTCCAATAAAATTTGGTTTTGGGAGATTATATTTTTTATGTATTTTAACCAATTAGAAATAGAAGCGTTTCGAAATTCAATTAAAATTTAAACTTTTGATATTAAATTCAATGTCGCAATCATCAAGATCAAGATGCTTTTTGACTTATTTAAGTTCAGATGATATTGTCAAGAGGCCAATCGGAAACTACAATTTAAATATATCGAAACAAGCTATTTTCTGTGGTTTCAATGAGGTAAAAACGAGAATATCAACTTTGTTTAATAAAATTTACAGTATATATTCGACGTTACCACTGCAGGATTCAATCAGTTGGTCAATGAGATATATCGACAAAAACTAAACTGGTCCGATAAATATCTTTGTGAAAGAAACTGATAAAAAATTGTTGATGTTCCTCTTGCAATTAAGAAGAATAAAAGCTCAAAGTATTTATGTAAGTCATCATATTGCTGTTGTGGATGTCGTTACAGATCTGACATGTCAATCTTGTCTCGAGGCTGTCAGCAACACAGCATTTATTGTTTGGCTATAATGACTTATGTATTAATAACATTCATACAACCGATCTTCTTTGAATTCTTATATTAAACAAACTACAAAATCTAGTAACTAAGTCTCTATTTTCTAAATTTTCTATTTTTTTTTTTCTAATACAAAATCTATTATATTATATATTCTGTTATTTTTAACGTCATCTAGTTTAGGTACAATGATTAACCGACTACATGCACTTATTTATGCTTAAGCGCTATTTACGACTATTTAAGAAAATATATATATAATATTATAAACATTATTTTATGTTTGTTTAGGTTTATGGAAATGCCATATTCTAATTAGGTTTGACTCTATCTTATAGAATAAAATATATTTTAATAATAATTTTTTATAAACTACATATAATTTAAATTAAATCTATAGTGTATATTAAACGAATTTGAACGAATATCTCAGGTAATATTGCATATATTGATGGACTTGCTACAACAACTCTTGATGGCAATAACTTTATAGTAACAACCAGTAATGCAACACCTAGTGGAGGAACTGTAGATAATAATACATCAAATGACAATTGTGCCTGTTCAATGAATGCAATGATTATATGTCAACAGTGTGGTGCATATTGTCATGACGACTGCATAAACTCTTCAAAACTGTGTATATCATGCGTTATAAGGTGAGACCTTAAAAGTAAATAATAGCTGAACTGGCCTCGCTTCACACCTACACCCAAAATACCATAACAAAAAATAATTTCTAAAAAAGACAAAGCTAACTAAAATACGAACTTGAAATTGTATTACAATACCATTAAGAAATAATCATAGCAGTATAATTAAAAATTAAAAATTAAAAATTACAGATAATAGCTAATAGAAAATTAATTTATACGGTTTGTTAAATATTTTACATTTAATATATATAAAATAAAAATCTCAAATTTATGAACAGAAATACATACAATATATCATTGTAAACTTTAAATCATTGTTATATATACATACATGTAAACAGTATATGAAAACTTGTAATAAACTTGGAAATAGAATGGTAAAAAGAACTACATACAAACTGGAAACCACATAAGGAATGTTGTGAATATTTTATTTATATAAGTTTATATTATAGAACGTTAATAAATATTTCAAATTACATATTGAATTTTTAAGAGACTTATCTGGTCGCTTTTCGAATCCCAGTATGTCATTTAAGTATTTAAATAGTTATGCTATTTTGTTTAAGGATAATAGAGCCTATGTCTTACTTTTATATAAAAGGATAGATGAAACAGGTGAATAGAAAAGCGATAATTCATTAAAATTGAAAAATTGTAAAAAATAATTTGTGTACATTTAAGGTAAATTTAATTTATAATGCAGTAAAAATGCAAAGAATATGTACAATATGTTGATTTAATTTTTATATATATGTATATACATATATATATATATATTATTCATTATTTTATTTATGTAATATATCTTATATTATTCAATATTTTTGCATTATTGATAAAGTAATTTTGTATTGTGAAATATTATCCATATTATATTATATATTTTATATGTAGAGTATTTTGTGTTTATCATTCATAATTCTTTTTTTTTTGTTTTTGTTTTTTTTTTGTTTTGCTTCCAAATCATGGTAACTAAAATCATTTATTATTTTGTATATATGTTCAAAAACTGATATGGTCTTAAAATATTATATTTAAATTTTTTTTTAAAAATATTTTTAATTAATGTAATTAAATCTATGTATACATTCAGATTAAAATAAATTTAATATTAAACACATTTACACTTATGTATGTATTAAGTAATAAATCGCAAAATTTGTTGATAAATCAATTACTATTTAGTGAAAAATATATGAAAATTAAATAAAAAGTAAAACCATTTTGCTCTTAGATGCACTTACCGCAAAATTATCCAATAAATATGATTATATAAAAAGCATTTGTTGTTTAATATGTCTCATACGTGATTCATAAGTTTTCGAACTCGAAAAATTTCTAGTTATACTTTTTTTTTTGTTTGCATGCTTAATTTAGAAAAAAATTTATAATTATAAATTTTACTATAATTTTTAACGGCAAATCATAGCATGTTACTGTCTTAATAAAGAATTATTACAGTGCGCTACCAGCTCGGGTTACTCCAATTTGGACATTTGAATAGAACAATTGAAATGCTGGAATTAGAACTAATATTCGAGTAGTAAATTTGTTTTATTTTTTTATACTTTTATTTTATTTCATACAAATACTAATAACAACAAATATTTTCACATAATATTATTGTATTTCCTAAATATACGTATAACAGCAAATGCTAGAACAAAAATTATAATGTTTGGACAAATTCGTGCGTCTCGTTTGAGTCAAATGCTCGAGCACAAACATAACATATTCATACACTGAAAAAGTCGAATTCTCGAACAGGTTGAATAGCAATTGAAATATTACTATGGAAAATAATACTATCGTAGAACAGATAATAGTGACTACTCCTTTTAGGTTCCTATTTACCAAGCGACATAAATTGGATAGATATCCATTAAGACATGTGTTAATAATTCGATTTTAATAGCTAACTGTTTATGAAGCGCTACATATTGAAAAATATGCAACCCTAACATGAATATCAGCTGAACATAAATATATATATATAACATGCTATAGACTAATAGGCATAGATTTAAATCTTAAAAGTCAATTACTATGAGTATAAAAGTTCTAAGGCAGACCTATTCATGGACTCTCCCGGACGGACAGAAAAACAAGGGATGAAATACAACTCAATGAGAGAACATTTACGTAATTCAGTGATTATATATCCGTAACCGTATAACTGATAACAGATTTTTAAAAATTGGCCAAGACGGAACAATTATTACCATAGAAAAGTTAGTAAGAATACTAGGCATAGGAATATCAAAGAAAACTACCTGTACTAATGAGATGACTGGAAACATATTCGGATATAAGATAAACTATGATATCTAATTAAATTTTTATTCAAAAATTTAGTAACATATATTGCAAAAGTTCGAGGACTCAAATAAAAATAAGTAAGAAAATCTTAAGGTAAGATTAAAATTTTGTAATAAATAGATGTTAGTAAGTAAATGTGTGTAAATGTAGATTAGTAGTATTTCGAAAAAAAATAAAATTGCAAAAATAGCATTGCAATGGATCTCGCAATGCACTAGAGGAAGAGCAAAACTTAATTAATAACATCGATCATATCATCAACTAAAAATACTGATTGGCGCGAATCACTTATGCTCTTACTAAGAATGAGAAATATTTTTAATATTTATCCCTCTATCTATGGAACGAAATAAGGATTAGAGAAAAGTATTCTTGATGTGGTTATTGATTCTGACGTTATACTTTTTCAAGCGATAAGCGACACTTGCTTGTATAGATTGTATAGATAAAAGTATAGAATATTTTCGGATGTGGTTGTTTTTGTAGTCATGCTTCTCGAACTACGGTTCCTTTCTGATTACTATAACACCAACAAATGAAAATCACTAATTAAATACAAGCAATAGAATCATATATATAAACATAGTGTACCTATTGTATGATATTGTATATGTAGCTTTTAATAAGTCATCAAAATAAAATAAGTCAGCAATAAAACAACCTCAAATATTTCAATATATTATATTTCGAAGATTAATAAAAAAATAAACAAAAAAAAAACGAAGATTAATAAAGAAATTATGGGTCTCGACAACCAAACAAAATACCTATACAGATAAAGCATATTAGTTTATCTTTTTTAAAATTTAAATAACGGTCCTGTTAAATAAAGAAATAGATAACACGATAGATTGTGTGTGGCTTATGTGAGTTGGAAGTAATAATATGGACAGCATCTTGAGTAAGAATTCCAAATTCCCAAATCTATATTATTATATTGATTTTATATATTTGTTTTTCCTATTTTATTTTTCTTCTTTATTAATACATTTTAACTAAAAATATTTTATACGTATTAATTGAATGAACTGTTTCTCAATTTTTAAAATGTTTTAAAATAGTGTCCACAATGGTTTGTACTTCAGCCATAGCACCATTTCCAGTATCACCACACATCAGAGTTTTTGATATAGCAGGTATTTCTAAATATCCCCAATTCTTAAGTTTACCTAGCTGTTCATTTGTTAATGGATGATCGTACATACGCGTGTTCATAGCAGGGCAGAAGTATAGTGGTTTCTCAAAATCCCAAGCGCGTACTACGCACATTAGTAAGTTGTCACAAATGCCCTATGATAATAAATGTGTTAACATAAAATTTTTATAAAAGTACAATACTTTATAGATGAATAAATACATACAGAGACAATTTTGGCCATAGAATTAGCGCTCAGTGGAGCTATAACCATAATATCTGCCCATTTTCCTAAATCAATATGTACAACAGGATCTCCCCTTTTATTCCAAGCACTCCATTCTTTTTGATCATCATACACAATTACATCCAACGGAATGGTTGTATTATCGATAAAATGTTTGGCATGCTCTGTCACAACAATGCTTATCTAAGAAGAATAACTAATTTTGTATAATTTAGATTAAATAATATTTGAAAAACTTACATTAAAATGTATTGGTATGTTGGATTCACGTAATTTTTCTATTAATAATGGTAACTTTATTGTGGCCACGCTACCTGTACAAGCTATTAAAAGATTTTTTTTTGGTTTCATTTTAAATAATTATAAAAAGAAATGTTAATTGTTTTTATTTGATGAATGGTCTGTTTGATTGTCAAACCCTAATTTGGACCATTCAACTTTTTCCATTAACTGATTATTCATGCGGCAGCCCAAATACTCCTTTGCCTCGTCCCTGCACCTACTGCTGTTATCGTCGTTTTTCTGTAGACAGGTCATGTAATGCAAATAATATTTTTTACAAAGATTTTCATGATCCAAAGGGAAACTGCCTTTCTGTGGTGGTGTAGGAATAAACTTTTTCTGGCTAAATGTATGTGACGACATTTATATCAAAAAACCTTATTGCCATCAAATTTACACAATTACAAAACAAACATAATCAACAGTTCTTTTAATGATTACTCAATTCACAATATTATTCACAATATTATCAGTGGGCATTTATGAAGTAACGAGTAATCTATTTATAACAATAATAAATTCAGTTTTCTCTACCTGGCTCGCTTGTTATTTAGTGATTTAAGCTATATTTAAGCCAATAAAATAAAAAAATTTATGTATATTTTTGTTTTTTAAAATAAAATATGACGATAGAGTAAATAGAATAAATTTGAGTTGAAGAAATTGTATTACATATTTAAGAGATAATTTCTCAGTGAGAGTGCAGTAGTTTACACTGCGTTGATTGCAGAAGCCGGTAAAATGCTTCTTAAAATATTTGTAATTATATTAATATTTTGGCCCTGTTCAGCTATAGAAATAGATCCAAATGGATATCTTGCTTACTGTCCTTGTATGGGTAAGTTAACAATATATACACATTTGCAACAATTAAATAATACTTTTTTTATTTTAGGGCGTTTTGGTAATCAAGCAGATCATTTTTTGGGTGCCCTTGCATTTTCACATGCAATAAATCGAACTCTTATATTGCCACCTTGGGTTGAATATCGTAAAGGTGAAGCGCGTTCTGTTCAGATTCCCTATGAGACATACTTTAATATCGAATCTTTACAAGAATATCATAGCGTGATTGCAATGTCTGATTTCATGGAAAATATAGCACCATCAGTGTGGCCACCAGATAAACGCGTTTCATTTTGTTATATGGAGCGAAAAACATTGTACCCAAATAAAGAATCTCAACGTGATTGTCATGCAAAAGATGGAAATCCATTTGGTCCATTTTGGGATACCTTTAATATCGATTTTATTGCATCTGAATTTTATGGACCACTACATTTCGATGTACATCATAGTGCTATAGCAGCTAAATGGCAAACAAAGTATTCACCCAAAGAATGGCCAGTACTTGCATTCACAGGTGCACCCGCTAGCTTTCCAGTCCAACTTGAAAATCGCGATCTTCAGCGTTATGTTACTTGGAATTCAAAGATAATTAATTCAGCGCAAGATTTTATACGTAATGAACTACCTCGTGGCGCTTTTATTGGTATTCATTTACGGAATGGAATTGATTGGGTGAAAGCCTGTGAACATATTAAAGATAGCCAACAACTTTTTGCTTCCCCACAATGTCTTGGATACAGAAATGAACGTGGTTCCTTATTTCCCGAATTATGTATGCCGTCGAAAGAGTTAATTATAAGACAAATAAAGCGATTGGTTAAAAATGTAAAGCAAATGTATCCTAAAAATGAAGTACGTTCCATATTTGTGGCATCTGATGCAAATCATATGATAACAGATCTCAATAACGCCTTGCTTAGAATGAATATAACCGCTTATAAATTAACAAATGATAATCCTCATTTAGATTTAGCGATACTAGGTCAAGCTAATCATTTCATAGGTAATTGCATTTCATCATATACTGCATTTGTTAAACGCGAACGGGATGTGAAAGGGTTACCATCTTATTTTTGGGCATATCCTAAAGAGAAAGATCGTCAACATTCTAAAGTACATGAAGAATTGTAAAAATGAATAGCAGTTCCCCAATTCTTCATAAACATTCCTACAATTACAAATGTTGAATAAGATGAAAAACGAATTTTGTTGATAAAGGTCATACACACCAAAGCGAATGTTTGCGAACGAACGAACTTTTACAAGTACGATTACCAGCGAATGTTCGTTCATTCGCAAGCGTTCGCTTTGGTGTGGATGCACCTTAAGAATGAAATTAACACATAATATTCTATTAAGTTTTAGAGTGTCATTTCTTTTTATATTTATTTTACTTTATAATTACTAGGTATTAGTATTACTTTTATAGTTGGTGGCTAAAAAAATTTTATTTAGTATTTTCAAATAGTGAAAATGATTTAAATTTTTTTAAAACTAAGCTACTTTATATGGTGACTATACTCAATATTATTTAGGAATTATTGTTAAAATAATTACGTTTTTAATTTTATCAACTTTGAATTTACAGCATGTTTACATTATCGCAATTAACTTGACAAATGTGCATCAATAAGTGTCATTTGTATTTAATATAAATACAAAAATGTGATATTGAGGTTCGATAATTTTAAGTGTAAACATACTATTATTATGAAAAGAATTTTTTGCAATTCTATTTAAAAATTATGGTCCTTGTTGTTGCATTCAGTTTATATAGAAACTAAATGTAGCATTTTAATATTTAACAATACTCAAATATATCAAATCCGAATTCCTTTTAGCATATAAATCAAAATAATATTTCATTTGCGTACTTTTTATTTTAATATAAAAGTTTATAATGTATTAAATTTCGACAGCAATAAAAATTGAAATAAAAGTACTTAACCATTCATCTTTAAATTTAAGTAGAAAATTATTTCCTAATTATTTGATAAAGACGCTTAGTCAATTGCTCATGAAAAACATGGTGAATATTATGTTCTTGAATATTAATTAAATCAAACCACTAAGTTATATATCAATGTATCAATCGTTGATTGCGGGCTAATTCTAGTTGGGCAGCAGACACATTTGCCAATCCTTCACGTACACTGCTGAGGCTATCTTTCCATGAATGTAAAAGATCACGTAGTTGCTCCCACTGTGTGGTTCCAAATGTACGATGCATAGTCGATGATATATGAACTTTTCGATTCGCTTGATCTAATCTTGCTCTCACCAACTTTGTTTTGAGCACTTCAATGACGAACGGTTCAACCTCATCTTCTGAAATTTGCAACTCTTTTGTCAAGGTTTCAAAAGACATTTCAGGATTACTTTCAGCCAATTGCATAAATGTTAACAGCCGCATTTTTTTCATATTTTGTTCATGATTTAAACCTTGTGAGTTAACAAATTCTTTATGATCTTCATAAAATTGTATATATGATGGCAGTTTGTCAGACACGAAAATTGAAAGTAAATCATGTATAAGATCACCTTCCAGAAAACGTACTGGCTTTAATGCCAGTAGTGGATCAAGAAGGAATGTGTTTGGATCAGCTAAAGCTGTAACAATACACTTCATTGCATCTTCACGGGCGACACAAGCATTATCAGCAGTATATGTTCCCAATAATTCTATCATTACCTTTGCTGATAACTCAATATTACTGTCCTTGGTGACATCGTGTAATAAGCGATAAAGTTTTTGCATTTGCTCACCTGAAGGTGGACAATTTGCAAAGTGCGATTTTAACTGATCAACACCACTGAAAACTTCCAAAACTTGATCGCACTGTTTAGCCACCTGCACAAGATGATAGTAAACATGGTAACGTAATGGGGAGGCTGTGTCCAAATTATTAAATAATCTCCATAGTGATTGTAAGCAAACTTTTGCAAGTGGAACATTTGGCGCTTTTGTCATCTTTTCACAATAAGCCAGTACAATATTTTCACCACGATCGAGAGGAATCTAATAAAATAATTCCATATTAATATATTTACATTTGAAAATCGTCATGATTTAAATTACCGTAATCATAATTGATACAATACTGTTTAGTATTCCATCGATTTGTGTTGGTTCACCATCTTTGAAACACACATCACAAACCCCGATAATTTTATGTAAATCATCTTCAACTCCTTTATTCGATTTCTCTGACGATATTTCTGCTCCAAGTTTTTTAAAGAACTTTCTCAATTCTTGTACCTATCAATAAATATACATAAAGTAACATTTGTTTTTGAGACATAACCTTAAATATTTCGTTGTTTTTAATCGCTTATTAACTGCAAAAATTATTGTGTTTATTTAATCTTATTATTTTACCTGTTCATCCAGCGACAAGTCAATAAAAACGGGAGGTGAATTCATTTTTTATAAATTGTTATATGTTTAATTATATGGAAAATTGCCACAAATCGAGTCGATATCGACAACCACACAAAATGAAAGAACCTAGCTTGCAATCGATGTGTCAAACTATGAGCAATTCACAATTAAAACATAGAAAAGTATTTGCAATAGATTTGAAAAACATTGAACGGCAATACTCTTTTTGTAAATATTCTATTATTTGTATAAATATCAACGAGTGTAATTTTACATTTAATAACATATAAACAAAAAATATTTATAAACAATAACTTATTTTTTTCAATAAAATTTTTAAAAGCAAACATCAAATTGTAATTTTTTTATTGATTTTAGTGCTTTTGATTTTTTTTCCCATTTTATCAACTACAGAGGTGTATTCTTTTGAAATTAATGCTGCAATAACAACTTATGGTTGCTAAATAACTACCTAAATCAGTAAACATATAACAAGTAAAAAAAAATTTTAAACGAATTTGTCGTTGATAAATACATAAATATGTACGTGTAGATAATTTTATAAAAAAAATTTATTATTTATATATAATACGAATGATACAAAGTATTTGATGAGCATTTTATATTGTATTTGAATTTATATAGAATTATAAATTTTTTAGGCTTTATCCATGATAACGAAGAAAAGTAGTGAAATAAGAACGATACAAAGAAATCGGCGCATTGACAATATATTTAAAAGTTTTAATAGATCCAGCTTTTCCGTAGGCAATACAAGATCGTCAATAAATTTGTTCATGTAATTTTTAAACTTCTAACTTCACTTGTTAATGTTAAGTGAATGGTATTTAACACTGATTTATTTTTTTTGCTATTAATTATAACTTTATTATCATTGTGTTTTGTGTTTCTTTATATATTGCATTTTTTAAATGAACATAACTATAAATTCCTTAATAAATAATTAGCGTATGACTTCTTCATATTTACTAACCTGTCAAGTTATTTTTACAAATTTTATTTAAAAAATTACTTTTTAAAAATATTTAAATTTACTCATTAACAGTCGCAACAGTTGTAAATATTAAACAGATGACTGGAGTGCTAGAGGCTTATTCGCACCACAAGGCTTATTTTAGCGCATTTTGGTTTTGCTTCGCATGTTAATTTTTAAGCGACATGTGTTCTATTGGAACATTATGTCAAAAGAATACACGTAAAATGATTAAATTAAATTAAACCTTCAATTTTGTAGTGTACATTACTTGTCTACTTTCGGTAAACTTTAATTATTTAATTTCATAAGTTCAATTTGTACTAAAGCAGTTAAACATTTTTTTATGATATATAGCATGCAATCATAAAGCATGTTTTTAAGATAAACAAAAAAGTTTACAAATTATTTGCGCTACTTTTATTTATATTTTCTTATATTATTCAAAACATATTTACTTTCATACCGCTTTATATGGATCTTTAAAATTATGAAACAAATAAAAATATTAAATTATATTTAATATTTAAGACAAACATACTTAATAATAAAAAAAATAATATCGAACTTTCAAAAAAATTAATTAATTAAAGTACTGTAGTGAATACAATCATTTGTCTTCATTAGAACACATTTTGTTAGACCCATTAGATCCATGTTGTCATTAGACCCATTACGAAACGTAAGAACAGACGAATTTATAATTTATGTCAAATTTATTATAATATAATTATAAAAAAAATAAAAACGCGACTGCTTAGGTTGAAGTATCCTTCTTTATTGAATTTTTATTCTTACTCTACCTTAAAACTAGCAACTATATAATTGTGTTAGTACGCCGGCAAGCACTAACACAACAGAGAAGCATGTATACACTTTATTATCTCACTAAAGTGAGGTTTCATATTGCAGCAGTCTGGCTGCTTGGATATAGCTAAAGTCAATAATGGGAATATGCTGCGTAGACATATTCACAACATTGTACGTTAGCCATTCAAGGTTATTTTATATGCACATTAATATGAATTTATAGAATTATATATATACAAAGTTTATACATGCTATATTATAAAAGCACAAACGAATATTTAATCAAATCAGTTTTCTACCTCTCATATATGTAAATGAATTATATTATATTTAGTACAGCTGTATAATTTTTAATTTTCGAAATAACTTTTGGACTGTTCCTTACCATCTTATGCCTTCACAGGCATAAGAAGCGTCTGCCTAATTTACTTGAAATTATCTTCTTATATTTTTTAGGCTCTTAAGGCTAAGGCATAGTCACCAATATCTGGTACTTTATATCAATAGAACGGTAAGTACGCATCCAGTTTTCTATTCCGCTAACACCGTCAACACTAACAGATTAAATACATTTATTTGTAAACGTAAATATTAAGCCCTTTAAGTTTCTTTTCTTTCCCGATTATTATATTTTTTCCTAAAGCTTTTTTAAGCGGCGTTTTTAGTTGTTGCAGATCTTACAGTACGGCTTTCAATGATTTTCACATGTACATGATTTTCATGCACTAAAGTAATTCAATCATTAAATATAGATATGACATATTAATTGTACTATTTAATTGAATTCCTATCAATTAAACCTCTTCAAGCTACTACTTTGAATAAATACAATTTACTAAAGCTAAAATCAAAAAGAAACAAAAAAAATTTATATAACAGCTAAAGTGCTACTAAACAGTACTAAAGAAACTACAAAAAAAAATATTTTTAGGAAATAATCATGCTGAAAATGTTAACAAATACACTTTGAACGTTAAAATGTTTAGTAAATATGAATGAATAAGAATAAAAAAAATAATATATTTTGGTGTGTATATGTTATCTTAAAACAAAAAAAGATTTTTAAGTCAAGAAATTTAGAAACAATCAACTCCTTATGGATGCAAAAACATATAGAATAAATAAGCTACGTGTCACTAAATTGGTGTCTATACTATGGGTACTAGAATAGGAAAACATGCGAATGCAAACTGTAGATTTTGTGAAGACAATGAGGAGACGGCTATACATGTGCTGTTAGAATGCTCTGCGTTAATGCACATATGGACGAGGCTTCTGGGAATGTGTATTCTTACGGATGAGGTAATAACACTCTGTAAAGTAGGTTCTATACACATATATGTAAAAGTAGGTTTATTGACGCAACAGGGCTTAGAGAACTACTCTAAACCTAGAAGGGGGTACAATAAACCCGACGGTCGCAGTGCCACATCCCCTAACAATAATAATAATGATGGGTACTAGTTCATATTAAACTTTTTGCTAATATATGACTATACATTTTGTAGAATGTGAATAGAAATACAATACACGTTCGTATTTTTTTACATAGCGTTGATACAATATAAACTATAGTCATTAGTATACTAAAACCAGAAGAATCGGATATATAGTTATATAAAATCTAAGATATTATTAAAAGAATAAATTCAAATATGGTAACTTAAACTATATATCGATGCCTTGAATCCAGAGAATTATTAATACTTACTATACTAAATTTATGTTGTGATACAAAGAGACCTGTTGATTACATGACGGTATAATAGATAGTATGTGGGTGGAAAGATAATGTTAAAGATTTAAAGTGTAGTTGAAATGCTAATTGAAGCTAGTCTGGATCAAAGTAAACGGATGTGAGTGCGTTTGTTTGGGCATGGAAACAGATTGGCGACGTCATGTTAAATAAAGCTGTAGTTAGAACATAGATTGTTCATTACTTAATGCACAAAAAAGCTGTCTATAGGTTTTAAGAGGAGCGCTATGCAATACAAATCAAAAGTGGTCGGGAAGTAAATATTTGTTCGTTATTAAGAGTTTTCATATTCGATTTCATCGATATTAACAACAATGCAATATGAGTCAATTAATTCATTACACAAGAAATTCACCTAGTATACCAATAATTTATATTATAATGATACACTTCCAAAAAATCCATTCATAAAACGACTTACGAATTAGTTCCAAAAAATTTCAAATAAAAAGAATAATTTTTGTTTTATAAAATGATTTATTTTTATATTTCGATTTTCAAATAGATACGAAGCTAAGTATTATTATAAGTGAATATACAATTATAATATATAAAAATAGTTATATTTGAATTAAATAAAAACAAAAATTCATCCAAGAACAAAAAATTATGAATTAAACAAACAATATTTTTAGTTTCATACTTTATTCATTATATAGTGAAAAAATATTCAAAATTCAAATACTCATACTAAACTTTATCACATTCCTAAAAACATTAAACTCCCTAAAATTTTTAGGGATAAATAAACAATAAATTCTGTTGCATCTGTTGATTAAAGGATGATCAAATGCAAAAAAAACTTGTCACAAATTCTGCCGATCAATCTTAAAAATATTAACTAAATTAAATTAATTTACCATAATTAGTAAGTTAAACTATATTACAAGTGAATTACCTTATAATTCTAAATTATAAACCCTAACTAAACATATTTCTTTTAGCGAAATATCTAATAATGGTGTAATAAATAATTCTAACTAAACTCTATTACATAATCGAACATAATCCAGAGGTTTCGATACCACATTCTACTTTCTTAGTCTTCTTCAGTGTTACATTCTGCAATTCTGGTTTGAAATCAAATTTAATTGTTTCTTCAATTGGCGGCGATGATCTCTGAGATGCAGTCGTTGGCGACATACTCTGAGGGCATCGTAAGACAGTGCTGTTGTCACTAGTATTACTTGTCAGTGCTGTGTTATTACTACTTTTTGAGCTTTCATTAACAGATTTAGAGGGGTTGGAAGATACAACACTAGCGATTGTGCTTATTGTTGCACCACCACCACAAAGAACAGGAATTGTATTTATTGTTTGTATAGTACTTATGTTACCATGGCTTAAACTATTTTTATTTACATCATTTACTTCAGAATTTAAATTAGAACTATTATTATGAGATGTACTTGATGAAGATGTTGTTATAATAGATGATGAAACTGAAACGTTACTATTTGTTGAAACAGTATTTTTCGTTATATTTATTTTAATCTTATTAACTAAATTGCTAAGTGGAATTGCTGGTGTTGGACCAGATATCGAAAGATTATGTCCAACATCAGGCTCCAAATTACCATCAATAGATATATTAAGATCCATAGAGGCTGTGTTCTCTAATGGTTCAATTATTCCAGTTAAAGTAAGAGACTCAGTTGAAGGTCTTCGTTCAGTTGCAGGAGATGCCGTTGAAGCGATTGTTTGTGTTTGTGTTTCTTCTAATATAAGTTATTTAAAAGCATGTAAGACAATTTTTTATTAATTAAATACATACCACTGCTTTGTACTGATATTTCTTCATCTGGCCTGATGAGGACTGTGCCAACATCTTCAAAACCATCATCATCTTCTTCATCTTTTGGTTCTTCTTTTATTTTGACATTCATAAAAGATAACTGCGATGTTTCGTCGCATTCAGTTGGTTCTTTCTCGACGTATGTGTCCAAGTCAGTAAAAGGTATGTTTGGTTCTTCGATTTCAACATCTGATTCCACAGTTTCAATAAACTTATCATCGCTTTTACTATCTGTAGAAATGGCCATTTCTTCTCTGCTTACGTTAGCTGGTACATATTCTTCGTCATCATCGACAATTTCAGTAACTGATGGCTCTTCGTTTGGCAATACTATAACATCATCGTCGTCATCCTCTTCATCATCTGCAATGGTTACTGACAACTTTGCTGCTTCTAAATTAAAAATAAAATTAACATTTTATAAATTAATTTAAATAGTTTTTAATCAAAGAGTATTATTTGAGGGGTTATCAGTCAAAATTATTATTTACAACTAATGATAAATAAGCTGAAAAATATAATACATTTATTTTATAAAATATTTTATTTATTATATGACTTAATAATGAACTAAAAATCTCCTACCTTCATCAACTGTAATTTTAATTACATTATCGACAGCGTTATCATCTTCTTCTGTAATTTTAGAGTCCTCTTTCAATTCTTCTACCTTTGGCGGATTGAGTGCAGTCTTAAAAAAAATTTATTTTTTTAAATATACAATTCAGTTTATTATTTATAACTTATATATTTGAGTATATTCACCTTATAATCTTCATAACAAAGTGGGTGGTATATTTTGTCTTCGACTCTTATGGCTGAACGTAGATGCCATTCTTCATGTTCTTCATTATAAAATTGTTCAAATTTCTCGTGACACATATCACAGCAGCGATCAACATCATTAGCTCCAGCTGGGCAACTAGGCGCTGGCGAATTTATTGAACGTTGATTGGAAACATCATCATTTGCATCTATTTCATTCAGTTGTGTCTCAAAAAAGTTCTTTTCTCGTTCTTCAAGATCTTCAATTTCTTCATACTGCGCCCAATCATTTAGTTCATAATACCACTTACGAGAATGTGCTTTTCTCGTTGAGTCTCGTTCTCTTCTATTTTGTCTAAAATGCCAATCCAAGTGTTGACTATACTTAATTGTTTGTTCAGGCGGAAATCGAACACCACAACTACTGCATTGCATGCCTGAAAATAATGTAGCCACAATAGCTGACTGGCGCAACTTAATTGTTTCTGGCTTTGCTAAATCAATAGGACGAATTACTTCAATAGGCTCCTCAACAACATCAGGATTCGTAAGTTCTTCCTTTACTGTTGAATTTTGAGTTGAATTTGTGGATGAAGAAGTTGTCGTACTGGTTAAAAGCCCTGTTGAAACTAATTTTTGAAGTAATTCATCGATGTTAATTTTGCTTAGCACATCTGTAGGTATGCTTGGAACCGAAGTATTTGTTGGCACTACTCCGTCATTTGTCGTAGATATGTTTTCTTCACTTTTAACTTCAATACTTTCTGTTGTTGTATTTGGTGGCGTTATTGTGGACTGATTTTGATTAGGTGATGCAGTTGTTTCAACCAAATTTTCGGAATCATTTGTTTCTACACTAATAGTTTCAGTGGGATTTGTGTTAACATATCTCATATTTTGGATTTTTATTTTTCCAGGTTCAACATCTTCAGGTAAAGCACTAAAACGTATGAAATGCTTATCATCACCAAGTTCATAACTTTTAGGAAGTCCACCAAATTCAACGTCTGCAGCAACACCATCTAACAGTACCGTAAGTAAATTATCTGCAAATTGTATAGTATGCTGTTTTTCTCCCAAATTAAAAGTCTGCAGTTTAGCATCAATAAATATTCCAATAACTATATGTGCATCTACAATCATGGTAATTTTACCAATAACTAAATCTCGACGAATTGGCCCAATATTTACTTTAGGTGGTGGCCCCTCTGCTTGCAAATGTCGAATATTTTTACCAATTGGAACTGGTATAATAGAACCACCAAAGAATATTTCATACCATTGATCATCAATATAGAGTTCACGTGAAGGAAAGCCAAATTTCATTCTATGTGGTTCACCTTTAATGGTTACTACTTTATAGTCATCATTAAAATGCATTGCAAACGTTTCATCGTCTATAGAAATTGATCTTTGACCAGGTTGAAAACGTATTTCACGTGGCTGATCCATTTCCATAAAAACAATTGCCACTTCATCATATATACGTATTTCTTTAGCACAGCTATCAATCGTAATTGTGCGAACTAAATTTTCTTGTGGGTTGTCAATCGAATTGCAGGGCTTTTTCGATTGTTGCACTGAAGCTGGTGCAATATTAAAGCTAACTGGAGGTTGTGGCGGTGGTGGAACTTTTGAAATCATCATTGGTGGTATTGCATTACCAAAAGGTGGTACTGGCATTCCAGTACCCATTTGCCAAGGCATTTGCGGTAAATGTAAGTTTGGATTTGGTAATGGTGGCATCGGTGGATGAGGTACTAAACTTCTAAAATGTCTCTTATTCACATTACCCGACAACCAAGGTCTATTTGGAGGCATATTCATTTGCATCCCTGAATCGTGATCATTCCATTTTACAGATTTAGAACGTTTTTCTTTATTGTATCGTGATTTTGTTATATTAATATCATCAGTTTTCTCATCATAAAGTGGTGAATTACTTGCATTACTATCACCTAATGAATTTTCTAATGGGAGCTCATTATTATTTGATTGATTTTTCACCAGTTTGGGAATGCGTTTCTTTAAAATAGCTTCACGCGCTGTATTTCTTTCTACCATAGCATCGTCATCCTCAATTGTTTGCGATTTATGTGTATTTACTAATTCTTTTCGTTTAGCTTCTTTTAATTTATTTTTTTCATTTATAGACATAACAGTTTGCACCAAACTTTTATATTGATCTTGAGAAACAGATTTCATTTCAAACAATTCTTGGGCTTGAGCTAATATTGTACGTAATTTTTCATCATTAGCTTCTTGAGAATCTTCATTTATATTAAGTTCCGTCAATTTTAAGCGCTGTGACAATTCTTTGTGAGATTTTTCTATAAATTATAATATAAATACAAATATTTTAAAACAAGAAAATAACATTGTCCTACCAAACTTTCCACTTTTATTGAATTTCGCAGCTTTTGCTAATTTTGCACGTACATCATCTAACGTTGACGCCTTATTAGGAGATGACTTCGTTTCTGTTGCATTTATTGGAATTTGTGGCTAAAATTAAATTCAGTACATAAAATGTATTTGATTTGATCGACAGTTTAAAGAAAATAGTTATTCTCTTCATAATTGACTTTAAAAATCAAATTTAAATTAATTTATTTTAATTAAAAAGTTAATTAAAAGTATTTTTTTTTTAATAATGTAACATATAACATCCATCAAACAGATACTACATAAGTTGGAGAAACGAAAATGTGATATATTTTTGTTATATAAAATAATCTATATATATTATATATTTGCTATTGTAGCATACATAATATAAACAAATATATCCATTACCCATTTTGTGTATGGTCTACTTGAGAAAAGTATTATTCACATATTCTTAAGCCACACTATATTAATTGTTGATCTTGCAATAATAAGTCCAAGCACTTTGAGCTGCTTGTGTATACTGCGCCGCTTTTAAAGACGAAAGCATTCGAGATATTGCATGAGCAACAACTTTTGAAATTAATTTAAATTGACGGGTAGCACTTTTATATAGTATAAAGATATTCAATAAAAATATAATTATCAATAATCAATCAAAGCGTATCATTTTCATTAAACTATATATAAGTTTAATTCAAATTTTATGTATGATAATAATAACTCATTGAAAATATTTATAATATTGTTAAATTTCTTACTTTATATAAAATTTGCTTCAAACATTAGGAGTCTAAGACTAAATTTGCATATTAAGTTGAAGTTGATCTATCTATAAACAATACAGTTAAGTTTATTAGTTATAGACAAGATTTATTGCCATGTGTAACCGAAATTCGTTATACAATGTGTCCCAATTTATACTAATTATTTGTAACAGTTGGAATACACGAATCATAATATATCGATAGTAATACAAGTATTATTATGTTAATATTATTTTATGAACTAATATGTGAAAATCGAAAAATTTTATATTTAATAAATTTGAAGTAACTAATAACATAGGTAATTATATTTAATATTTTTATACAAACCTCTGTTTTATCAATATTCTCAGCATTTTGATGAATTAAATTTTCATCCTCTGATTTCAATGTTGGTGTTACTTTCTCTTCCACTGGTTCGTGCTTTTGTGTGGGTAATATGACTGGAATTACTGTACGTAAATCAACATCTTCAGAGCCAAAAAGACTACAAAAATATTAAGTTATCACAAGAATAAAAACTAAAATTCTTTACCAAATTGCTGTTTTTTACTTACGCGTCAATTTTTGTTGATTTACTTTTCTTTGGTAAGGGTTCTTCCGCTTCAGGTGTAGGGAATGGCCTTTTCTTCACATCCTCTCCATCGTTGTCAATCTCCATTTCCTCCTTGATAATAGCATTTTCTGATGCATTCAACTTCAATGCTTTATCAACTTGATTCTCAGATTTAGAATTTATGGCATCAATTTTCTTATTCGTAATTATGCTGGATGCTGTCAATAGATTATCTGTAGTTTTTTCTAACTTATTAAACAATTTTTGTATTTTAAACGACACTTTGGGTGATGATGTTACAACTGTTTTTGCACTCGTTGATTCAAGAGCTGGGGATATATTTAATAACGTTGCAGTTGAGGTCTGCCTCAAATCAACATCCTTGTTTGACTTTTGTACAGTGTCTAGCACTAACTTTTTATCTAAAATTGGTTGTTCGTGTTTTGGATATATATTTATTTATATTATAAAATAATATATATATATATAAATAATATATATATATTATTTTATAATATTATATATATAATATTATATATATGTATAAATATGTAAATATATATATACATATATTAATTTTAAAGAAATATAAACAACAAAATAGTACTACAAGATTTCATAGAAAATTAATGAGCCAATTTTATGGCAAAAAAAAAAAAAAAAATTACAGGACTAATAATGTAAAACAAAAACGGTGCATAACTCAACATCATCACAAAAAAAAAATATTAATATAAACATACATATATATTATGTATAATATATATATTTTTTATTATGCGCATACACACACAACTTTAATACACATAATATATCTTAACTGTACACATTATTATATACATACAGATGTGTTATATACATAAACATATATATGCATATACATGTATACAAAAGAAATAAATAAACATATATATTATGCATAATATATGTTAAACGTAAACATATAATAATAATTTAAAATATATTTAAAGAACACTCTTTATACGTTTGTTTTTTAAATGTTTCTTTGAACTTTTAAATTTAGTACTTTGGTTAGATTTTTTTTTATTTTATATAGTTTGTTTTGATAATTTTACCAACTTTTCGAAAGATGTTGGAATTTTTCTACAGAATAGAATTTTACAATTAGTTCATAAAACCTTACAACCAATAGTTGTAAGATTAATTATTATAAAACCATATTCAAAAGAAGTTAAATAGATTTTAAAATGTTGCCGTAATGTATATAGAAAATAATTATATAAAACAAATAAAAAGAAACCTGAGTTTTTTTTTTAAAGGTTCATAACAAGACTTTAAATAACAAACATTAATCATCATATATATATACATATAATAAATATAAATATTTATATATACATATATAGAATTTAATACATAAATACAGTTACTTTTATAATTTTATACTGTACGTGAAAAAAATTAGAATATCTATTTATAATTAATATTAAACAATTTTGAATATAAATCTTTAAGTACTAAAAGATATTTGTATATCGATATATATTCAACCTTTATTTTGTTTTTAACAATTACACTTATATATCACAATTTTTTCTGTTTCTTTTTTTACTAAGTTCTTATTTATTATAATACAGATACTTTAATTTAATTCCCCAGAAAAAGAGCACAGCGTTTTTTAATATTTTATATTGACATAAAACAATGCCCTCAAATTAAAACAACTGTTGCAAAACATGTTTATAAAATTTTTATTTTGAAATAAATATTAAACTAGCAAAATTTTATACTTAAATAATGCATTATTTTTACATATTTTTGTTTTATATACATGATTCATTATCTATTTGGCATTTAAGATTTTACCATATCACAGTAAAAAGAAGTATATATTCCATAGGAATTATCTAAAACAACCAAAATCAGCAGAAAAAAATCCATTAACGACCTGTTCTCAGCATTTGATATTATAACATAGAATATGCTTACGCCTGAAATTTCACACAAAATTATTTCCATACAATAGATAATACTCAGCGACCTAAGCAAATCTGAAGAACTGAACTATTAAGCAACGAAAAAGAAATTGTCCCCCCGAAGCTAATCATCATTTTATGTTCACCTATAGTTTCTATGCCAAATGTGACTCTTTTCAGGGGATAAAGTGTATTAAATGTGTAAAAATTGCTTTTATATTTTTACTTAATATATGTGAAGTTATACTTGTGTAGTAGTAGAGACTATTCTTACTTTTGTCTAAATCTTTAGCAGCATTACTTGATTTAATATCCTCCTTTTCTGTATGCCCAGCGTTACATTTAATGCGTTTATCATTATTTGAACGTAAATCAGTATCTTTAGTTAGTCCACTTATTGGACTAGGTGAACGATTTTTATTGGAATTACTACGACTTCTAGGATCCCGTTTCACCTCTTTACTCTTTGCTGGTGGGGAAGCTGGTGAAGATGATTTTCTTTTATGCGTTGAAGAATTAGAAGTTATATCAAATTCATCTTTATCACATTTTGCAATACGTTTGTCGCGACTACTAAAACCTCCATCTTTTCGACGGTCTGAGGAACTGCCACTTCCACTACTGGAAGATGAATTTTTGTCAGAACGTTTACGATCTTTGTCTCGACTAGAGGAACTTGAACTTTTGCTGGACGTACGACCTGAACGACTTGAGGAATGGCGAGTTGGTGACTTACTTTCAGAGCCGGAGCCGCCGCTACTAGTTCTTCGTGTTTTATGACTATCCTTACGGTATGATGAAGTTTTTTCTGTATTTTTAGAGTCTTCATTGTGATGCAAATAATTGCTTGGAGGTTGTATTTGTATACCTCTATTACCATGCTGTTGTAAGCCTTGTTGACCTTGTTGATTTTGTCTTGCCAAACGTGGATCACGATGACGTATGGTATTAATTAAAGCCGGATTCACTGGATGTACTTTTGGCTTGCCAATATTATTAATTCCAGTAGGATAAGTCTATTTGAATAAAATCATTTTATTAAATTGTTTATTGGAATAACATAGAATTGATTATTTCTACCTGAGCTGGTAAGTTATTTGAGCCGGGTATTAAATTTGGTCTAGAATGTCGATAAGTATTCTGGTAAATACTTGGTCTTATAGCTGGCGAGTGATGCGCCACTATATTTGGTGCAACCATATTATTTGGCATTATTTGTGGCATAACTGAGGGTGGAGCTAATATATGTGTATCAACTGGTGACAAAACATTCTCAGCTGTGCCCAACTGTTTTTCTTGTTCTTCTAAACGTTTTTTTGTTGCTTCAAGTTCTAATTCTAATTTTTGTTTTTTTAATTCAAGTAATTTTCTTGTTTTTGCATGTAAAATTTCTTCCATACTAGTATCAGTAGGTAATGCTTGTATAGTTTGATTAGGGGCAAGATTTACATTTACCTTAAAATATTTAATTAAATTAATATATATATATATATATTTCATTTAAATTCTATTATATATTTACCGTTTTTAAGAAATTCGGATTGACATGAATTGCTGGTTGCGAATGTTGTGCAGTTATTGGCCAGTTAACATCTAAACGTTTGACTTTGACATCTAATGTGTATAACTTCTGTGCAGAAAATACTTCATTCCACGTTTGACGCAATGCGTACATTCGTTCTCGTACCTTTTCATTCACCTTAAAAAAAATAACCTCTTAACACTCTTTATCTTATATATATTTATTACACTTTTACTTACTGTTTCGAATACCCCACAAAATATATTTACTATACATTGACTGAAGAGCTGGACATATGTGCTTTTCACATTTTTCACAATCGAATCAATTAGATACAGTATTGGCAACTTAATATCTGGTACTACCTGTATAAGAATTATGAAGATAAGGAAGATCATGTTGAGAACAATAACTAGGAAAATCTCGTGGTTAAAGTGTATTCAATACAAAAATGAGCACAATTTTTAATGGAATGATGTACTTAAAGATTATTATAAGACTCGTAATATGTGCTCGTAACAAATTTAACGAAAATTATGCGTTTAGCATCTTTACAAGCTGAAAACTATAAAATTATATTATGTGGAAAATGTACTTTGATGGTACTGAAAGAAGTCATTTCATATAATAAGATTGTAATATAGAAGTTTACTAGAGATTATAATACAATTTGCATTCAATAATTATGCTATATAAATATAGTAAAATATAACCTTGACTAATTTCTATACTTTTTCTTAGGAAATTTTGAGCTGCATGATTCCTAAAACTTGCATAATAAACCTTCCGTTTTTCAAAATGTTTATTTGATCTAATACTACACTGAAGTAAACTGTCCCTTATTTATTACTAATATATTAAAACAAAATCCATGTACCTACAGACATAATTAGGTTTACTCCCAACATATGCATTATCAGAGCAAATAAAACTGAGCGTTATTGTATAGCGTTTTAAACCGTATATGGCTTTATAGCATTCTAAATAATTGTTGGATAAAATTCCTATTTCTTAATATAAACACATTTATAACCATTTTGATTTTCAAAATGACTTTGGTAACGTTCATTATTAAATTGTATCTTTTAATTTTATTTTTTAACCGAACAGCTTAATATCTACGAGCTCTTTAAAAGTGATTACTTCACTTATAAGATATTTATAAATTATAATGTATATATTATTATTTTGTTTGTTGGGTTTTGTCGTCGAAATGTATGTATTCGTATTCGTATGTATTTACATAAATCCTGCATGTTTGTATATATGAATGTATGGTACCTATGTGTGTATATTTTTTTTCGTTTGCAATTTATTATAATTAGGTAATATGAAGTTGACTATTTTTTATGATTTATATATAGCAATAAGGCTATATGAGGTTAAGGAATTTTTTTAAGGAATTATATATGAGTATAGCGCATAAACAATATGGAATTGATTATTTTTTTTTTTTTGCCATATGTCAACGGGATTAAGTTTTATAAATATATATTTATTATAATTAAATTATATTTTTGAAAATTATATGATTAAATGATATAAAGGATTTTTGAAATTGAGGACATATATATAATTATATATTATAATATATAATATATATATTAAATATATATTATATATATATATATATATATATTATAATAAGATGAAGAAAAAATGTGCACATTTATGGATGTTTAAAGGATATTACACTTTATTTTCATAGATATTTTTATCATAATTATAAGTTTGAGGAATTTTTAAAGGTATATTTATCATAATTGAATTATATCTTTGAATATGTACATATTGAAATCAGATTATTGCATTTATCGTAATTGCGCTTTTTTTTTTGAAAACATATCATAATTCAATTATACAAAATTTATTTTTTTTTTTGAAAAAAATTTGTTATAATTAAAATTGAATTTGAGATTTTTTATGATATTGAAAGATATCTCTAGTATGAAGAATGAGCTAAGTGTATATAAATTTGTGGGGCTTAATTAATTAGATATTAAAAATCCGTATCTATGAACCGAAGGTATAAAGGGGGCAATAAAAACAGTAATTTAGAATTATTTTTATAATAATTATTTAATAATATACAGTCAGTTCTGAATTTTAATAACAATCTAATACTCATCTAGTTTTATTATTACTACCACTCCATCTAGACTTATTATCGTATTATTTTTAACAAAATCTTTAAGAAAAATCATATATAAAAATAACTTTAAAAACACTACTTATTATATTATAAAGTTTATTAAAAACCTTAAGTTGCAACTGTAGGTGGAAGCTACAATATATTATTAAAAAACTATTTATTTCAGTATAAAATTTGTGCAAACTTAAAATTATTAAAAGTTAAAGGTGTAAAATCAAATTAAAATAATTTCAAAGCTATTTTTCAAAGATTTATATATATATATATATAAATCATTTTAAGTTCTTTGGAAATGAATTATATTCTTTTCTAATACTCTTAATAACTTATGAATTAAGGTTGAATAAAATTAAACATTTATTACAAATTTAGAGTAAAATTTTTTGTTCCTCTAGCTAATAAATTTTTAAAAAAATATTTAAATAAAAACTGAATATCCAACATATACCTTTAGCTTAATATACTGATTTTTATACTATATTGATTTTTTCCTATTATTTATGTGGATATTAAATATTATTTGCTGTGCAGATATGGAATTCTTTGGAATTGGATTAAGGTGAAAATAAGACAACACACTACTACAATTTATTTTAGTAATTTGTATTTATTCAACATCATATTTTTCAAGAGAAATTAGGTTTAAATTTGTGAACGCCAAGAATGTTACTTACTGACTTTAAATTTGACATGAATGAGAGTATTATTTCTGTTCAACTTTTATTCAAATATATCAAATAGATTTTTAAGACGTGTTTTACCTTTGTTTATGTGCTTAAATAATCGTTATTTACATATATTTGATATTTTAACACATATTTTTATTTTATTAAAGTATTTTGTTAAGTCTTAAATCGATTCTTTACAAAATTTGAACGTTGATGTTTTGATCCTAAATAATACAATTAAGAGTGAATGAGAATCAACTCATCAGTTAAGAGAAATATCACCCAATTTGTGGTAAAAGAATATTATTTTTCAATTTAAACATTATTTGTACTTTAGTTTTTTTATTTTCTTAAAAATTTTTTTAAGTAACGTACTCAGTCACTTTTTTTCTTTTTGATTTGTATATATCATCAGTCTTAGATCCGTTAATAAAATATATATTTATTACGGCGTTTAAATGTCTTTATAATATAAGTCTTACTTGTATAAAAATAGTATGAAATTCTTAAAAAATGTTAACCTTAGCAATATGATCTTCAACCACTCTGACAATTACTGAGGCATACTCAATGTTCTCTTCAGCTAACATAGTAAGCATGTTTATAAGTGGCTTGCTGTTGCACGTTAGATCCGATAAACTTGAGAGGTATTCCTCAGCAACTCGGTCTTCGTTCTCCTTATGCAGCTTACTGTTCATGTCCATTTTGAAAATTCAATAAATATTTTGATATGCAGATTTTCGGGATTTGTCAATATGAAGTGACGTTTCTCAATATTCGTTATTATACAATTGTAGTTTTGTATGAAGCATTCTGTAAGAATAATTTGTAAAAATGACAATTAACTCAATGATATTTAAATAAAATTTTTGTATTAAGAATTTAATTCAACATTTTACACAATTCATTGAAGCACAAACAGATTTCTGTTGACATATTATTTTTTTACTTTCTTTTACACTCTCACTCTCAAAATAGTAACCACCCCATCTTACACAACCAACTTATCCACATCCTAACCCATATATTCGTCATGTAATTCCTTTCGTTACCTCCATTACAGATCCCTGCGGGCTACACCAACAAGAAAACATAGCTAACTTTAATATAACCTTACAACCTACTGATATAAAAAGGAATATACCAACGAATCCTACAAAGTCAAAAACTCCATAATTTTGATATTACAAACGGTAAAAATTATTTTTTTGAAAACCATCCAGTCTCTGTTAGCAAAGCCCTATAAAGTCATTCAATGTTGGTATAGGATGAACGTGTGCCGCCCTAGACATAATGAACACTATGACTCTGTAAAATAACTTGTTGAGACAAGTTTCGGTTACTTAAGGACTATTACGTTAAGGACGTTGAAGATACTTAAAAGGGTTAAACCACTAACTCAACAATCTGTGTGCGATTTTATCGAAAAATTTTTAATTTTGATATAAAACAACGCATTTAATATTTGTTATAAAGCGAAGAAATTTCAATAATTCAAATATTTGTTAAAATTAATCTAAGTAACTCATATAATAATAAATGCGTTCTTTATACATTGTTGGTACTGAATTTATATTGACACATTTGATAAAATATGCATGTATATTAAAATGTGTAGGTGTTGATTTGAAAAATATGTGATTTATGTATGCAAAAAGGTTAATAGTACAGATATATAATATTTAGTTCTTAAATATTAAGATTTTGGTATTTTCGGAATATGCATTAAGAAATCCCCAATTCTTTATAAAAAAATCAAACACAAACAACACATTTAAGCGTAATTATATCGATACATTGTTGTTGGTGTATGTTTTCCTTGACTCCACAAACAAAAACCATATATAAGTATAAGTGAACAAAAATATAATACACATTTATATGAAAAGACGAGGGGTTAGGAGTTAACTACACAATCTCTGAACAATGATCATTGTATACGTGAAGTTATAAGTATTTTGCAAACTGTTTAACAATGTATATTTAGCAATATTGTTATCCAAGTTAAATTAGGATGATATTGTATTGTAAAAAAATATATTCGTGTATATCATGAAACTGCATCAGTCCAGTTATTTTGGACTAATGATTGAGTTATATTTATGTATATATAATGTATTTCAGTAAATTCATAAACACTCATTTATAATAAATTAATTTACATTTAAAACAATTGCTTAAACAAAAATAAAACAAAACAAAATCTATTTTTCACATATCCGCATAGCCATTAACGCATATTGTATACTAACACCATTAATTAACGAAAACACGTCAAACACATTTTGCGTATGAAAAATTTTTGCACTACTTTGTTTGAATCATTTAATATTTCACTTACCCTTTCAACTTAAAAAGATATAAATAAATATTTTATATTCACAAATATTAAAAGAGATGTATTATTTTATTGTTAACGTGTCAATATTTTACAAACTTCACACTTCTCACGTAATACTTTCATCGTCTCTGAATTAATTCTGCTATATGAAAATGGCTACCACAATGCCGCAATATCGAATGTAATCGCAAGGTTGTATTTAAAAAAGTAAACAACTTTAAACTTAGATGTAACACATATATTTTAAACGTTTTTGATATCACAATAAATTCTACACAAAGTTTTGATTTATATTTGTCAACACTTGATAAGTAGTTTTAACGTACTGTGTCATTATATTAATTTTTGATGCTTATATAGAATTTAAAATTTTTTCTTGTACTGTAAAATACTATATAAAAGAATTGGTTTACCCTATTATTTTAGAAATTGCATTTGTCGATTATGACCGTCAAGTGAATAATTTAGAAAATTCCTGTCTTTATGATCGCATATAAGTTCTGAGAATATTTGCCAAATTTTGACAACATATGCTATTTTTACTAATTAATTTTAGGAATTCTATACGCTATACCTCAATTCTAGGAATTTTATAAGTCAATACCTTTAAACATTTCGTAATTAAGTTAAGTGTTGTTCCTCGAATATTATGCAGGTCATCTATGTTGTTGTATAAAATTTTTTGATGTTTTGTATTTTGAGTAATTATTGAGAAAAATAAAAATTTATAAATATATAATAATATTATATATTTTTAGCAAAAGTGAAACACGGTCCGATGTATTTTTAACATGTTCTTTACTTCGCTTTATTAACTATACTAAAAATGAATAATGAATAATAATTACAAAAGGAATATAGAATAATGACAGGCCAGAGTTGCCAGGCAATTAATATTTAAAAAGTACTTTACATAACAACACCCCCTCTTAAAGTGCTTTTATTATGTATAAAATATGACTTTAATATTTCATTCCTAATTTCCGTAAGCAATTAACATGCTTTTCTGTAGTGAGTCCTTTGGTAAGGACGTCTGCGGGCATTTCTTCTGTTGGCATATATTTGATTTTAACAGTGCCGTCGTTAACCTTGCTGCGAATAAAGTGATAACGAATATCAATGTGCTTTGTCCGTGGATGATACCTGAAGTTGTAATGCCAACATCATCAAGGATTGCCTTTAGATATAACGCTTCTTTTGTGGCCTCAGATATGGCCATATATTCTGATTCAGTGCTTGAAAGCGCTACTGTACGTTGCTTTCGAGCTTCCCAACATATCGCTGCTCCTGATATAATGAACGCATACCCTGAATATGAACGTCTATCGTTTAAGTCAGCGCCCCAATCAGCGTCAACCAGACCATACAATTCTTCATTGTTTTTCTCATACAATAGACCATAGTTGCTTGTACCTTTAAGGTATCTTAGAATTCGTTTTGCTGCTTTCCAATGTTCCACGTTATAATTTGAATTGAACTGGCTAAGAAAGTTTATAGCAAACGCAATATCAGGTCGAGTTGTAACAGCTAAGTACATTAATGCTCCTATCAAGCTTTGATAGGGATACATCTTCATAACACCTTCATCAATTTTTGTTGGTTTCGTTAACTTAATGTTCAATTCTATGGGAGTCTTCACTGGTTTACAGTCTTTCATATTGAACTTTTCAATGATGCTTTTTGCATACTTCTCTTGTGAAAGAAAAACTTGATGCTTGCTTAAATTTTGATGAAACTCGATGCCAAGACAATTACTTACTATTCCCAAATCCTTCATTTCGAAATCATTCGCAAGTGCAGCCTTTATTTCTTTTATACGAAACTTATTATTGGACGCTATTAGTAAATCATCTACATATATTGTCATCAAAACAATGTCGTTGCCTTCTCGCTTAGTGAATACACAAGGATCCTGTTGTACTGCACTTAGACCCATATTCTGTAGTTTCTTTGTCAATTTCATGTACCATGATAGCCCAGACTGACGGAGTCCATAAAGAGCTTTCTTTAATAAACATACAGGTGACTTACTTGATTTAATCGCCTTTAACCAATGCTGCGCTGTTTCTTTAACTTTTCCACACAATATTGTTGAAGTTTTTCCCACTGGTTTTGATGAAACAACTTTGTTCAGGAATGGTATAAGATAATCGGGAATTTCCATGAAGACACTCTCTTCGAGCTCTCCATTTAGGTATGCTGTAATGACATCCATCTGATGGATCTCCAAATCCATTTTTGCTGCCAGTGCCGCAAGTAGTCTTATAGATGTTGAACGAGCGACTGGAGAAAACGTATCATGAAAGTCTTCACCTGGTCGTTGTGCAAAACCCTTCGCTACTAATCGTACTTTCTGTTTTTCGTCATCTTTAGTTCGAAGCACGAATCTATTCCCAATAACTTTTCGTGATTTCGGTCTTTCGACCACTTCCCATGTTTTATTCTTTAGTTGTGCCACCATTTCGTCTTCTAGCGCTTTTGACCAGGAATTTGTTTCATCGCTTTCAAGTGCCTCCAAAATCGTTACTGGAGTTTGATATGTAGTGAGAAACGCCATTTCACAATCTTCAAAAACGTTGTTGTCAGGTTCATCATCTGAATGGTTTTTATCAGCAATTTTTCTTACTGAACTTGTATTTTCGTCTTCGTTGGATGATTCTTCACCATTCCGATTTGACGTGTAATATTCTTTTCGAGGCCTACCGCGTGAATTTGTGCGAATAAGTCTCGGACGACCTCTTCTACGAATGGAGTTTTCTTCTCGCGTATCTGTATTTTCTACAATTTTCGGATTGACCGACAGTTTCTGATTTTCACAATTTTCGAACGCAATATCGATATAATCATTTGTTTGGCAGTCGTTTTCATTGTTAATATAAATGTTTTCGTATTTATTATGATAGATATTTTTGTTTACGAACACGACATCACGGCTTATTGTTATATTTCGTTTTGTAGGTGACCACAGCCGATAGGCTTTCGCTTCGTTTGAATATCCAACAAACATGTAAGGTTCTGACTTAGAATCGAATTTATCTCTAGTCTTATCCTTTTTTAGGACATATGCTTTAGAGCCAAATACTTGAAAATGTACAATAGTTGGCATTTTACCAGTCCACAACTTGTGCGGTACTACACCGTTCAATGCTTTTGTAGGACACCTATTCCGAATATAGCACGCTGTATTTATGGCCTCTGCCCAAAAATTTGGCGGAACTTCAGCTTGTTTCATCATGCAACGGGCCATTTCAACTAGAGTTCTGTTTTTACGTTCAGCAATACCATTTTGCTCCGGCGTATATGGAGCAGTTAAGCGTCTTTGTATACCAAATTTCCTCAAGAATAAATTAAATTCAGAATTAACGTATTCTCTACCATTGTCTGATTGTAAAGCCTTAATTCGTTTACCCGTAAATGTTTCTACTGCTCTTTTGTATTGCTTAAATACATTTAATACATCGGATTTTTGTTTTATAAAATATACATGACAATAGCGTGATTTGTCATCAATAAATGTTACGAAATATTTTGCATCCGAATTTGATGCTGTTCTCATTGGTCCGCACACATCACTATGCACGATCTCTAATAAGTCACTTGTTCTAGTTTCTTTACTCTTAGGAAATGGTTTTTGTATTTGTTTTTCACTAATACAAATTTCGCAAGTCGGAAGTTTTTGTTTAGGATTTAATTTTAATCCGTGTACTAGGTTATTACTAGCCAATTTTTTAAGATCGTTTTCATTTATGTGGCCCATTTTCTGGTGCCACTTTTCAATGTCACATTTTTCTTCAGCAACTTGTGCAAAATGATTTTTATTTTCAACAATAAAAAGATTTCCACATCTTTTCGCTCGAGTTATAACCTTCTGATATTTGTCCAATACGATTGCATCTGAAGGGCGAAAATGCACTTCATATCCGCTGTCTACTATTTTTGATACAGAAAGTAGACTTGTACGCAAGTCCTCGACATATAGAACTTCTTTAAGATCAATGTTATTATCACGACCGTATACGTCTACAGTTATTTTCATTTTACCGACGCCGTTTATATTTGTTGTGTTGTCGTTTGCTAAGTTAAGCACTTTATTCGATTTTTGAAAGTCTGTAAAATATTCACGGTTTGCACTTAAATGGGCAGTACATCCACTATCTAGGCACCAATAATTTTCTTTTATTGAGCTAATAAATGCATCTTCAACATGATAGCTAAAATTATTGTTTACAGATTTTTCCGAATTTTTCAATTGCGTGTTATTTTCAGCTTTTGCTTTATTTTTACATCCACGTGCAAAATGTCCGATTTTGCCACAATTAAAACATTGTTTGTTTCGTTTAGAATCACTGTATCGTTTGTTTTGTTTTGCGTTTCGGCTTTTATTTCGATTTATGTATAGAGAGTTTTCATCACTATGTCTGTCTTCTTTTGTCCTTTGCGATTCAGCTTCTTCTAATATTTTCACTCGAAGTATGTCTGGCTTTGGCAGCTCGTCGCGCGTTTCTAACGCGCACCTGAAAGTATTAAAAGAATCGGGTAGGCTATATAGGAGCAGTATGGCCAGAAGCTCATCCCCGATGGTGACGTCAATTTCCTTTAATTTTGCCACGGCTTCAAAAAAATCGTTGAGGTGCTCTCTAACCTTTTCACCCTCCTTCATGCGCGAAAGTGCAACCTTTTTCAGCAACGTCGCCTTGCGCGCAGGCCCTTTTGATGAATATGTGGCTTGTAGTTTCATCCACATTTCGTTTGAATTTGTGCATTCTGCAATTAATCTTAATTCTGATGCACTTACTGATAACATTATATCAGCACACGCTTTCTGATCAAAGCTGATCCATTTTGCAGCCGCTTCGCCCGTTGGACACGACGCAGTACCTTCGACATATGACCATAAATCGTTTTTTATGAGAATAGCTTTCATTTGTAATTTCCATGTATCGTAGTTTTCCGCGTTAAGCGGTTCAACTCGAATCACCGTTCCCGACATTTTTATACACGTATTAAATCTACTTTTTATGTGCACGTGCTTTTTACTTCGCAGTGGAAGCGTGCTGGGCCCATAACCTATTATATATTTTTAGCAAAAGTGAAACACGGTCCGATGTATTTTTAACATGTTCTTTACTTCGCTTTATTAACTATACTAAAAA